TTCGAGACGAATTTTAAGTACTCGTGGCCTGCCTGTCCCCTTCCTTCCATGACGACGAACCTCCTTAATGAATTCAGTCTTGAACCCAGCGACAACTACAATGTTTTCTGCTAAAAGCCTATCGGCAGTAGCAGATTCATCATCCGTAGATTTCTCTGGAATGTTTATGCCAACTAGATATGGTTCTTTTTCCTTCCTTTCAAAATATTTTTCAATGGTTTCCAATACTTGTTCAGTTTCAATTTTTGAATGCTCGAAGTTGCTCAAAGACGAAGCTTTCAAATTATTAATATCATTCTTAAGTTCTTCGTTGACCTTTGTAAGTATTTCAACAGATCTAGTTAAATGCATAGATCTTGTTGTTTTTCATATTTCTCAGTAATGGAAGCTAGTTGTGACCTCAGATCCTCGATAGTTTTAGTTAAACAGCTAACATTATTATTGGAAACGGTCTCATTTATTGCTAGTTTTTAAGGTGCCATTTGGAATTTTTTTTTATCTTATAAGTGCCCAGTATAAAACGATAATAACAATATACTTTTAGAAAGAATATCTTTTAGACAAATGCAATAAGAGTTTAGCGAAGCACAATATAATATAATAGAAATAATGAATTATTGACGAAGAGAATAACCGACACCACCGCTCACGAGAATAGCAAATGAGATATGTATCGGTTGAAGAAGTGCTTGACATAAAAAATCTTGGAGCTACTCTTACATCAAATATCCAAGCGAAAGACAAAATTGGAACCCAGAAAGTTGTAATTAGAAATACATTCCTTCATCTTGCGAAACGTCTATGGAAATGGTTCACATCATCTTTTTATACATGGGCCAATAAGAGTGAAAAATAAGAAATTCTCTATCTTTGGTCAAATATGTCAAAGACACCTTCCACACGCTCGTCAAGCTGATATGAATTATAGCCATCTTCGCTTAAATACTATCTATATCAATAAAGTAGAACTCAGGTCATGTTTTTCGCCGTTGATCTTTTTTATATTGATACACATATTACTAGTTGCCAAGTCTTGAATGGCTTTAGAAACGAGTCAATCGAGACTTGTACTGATACAATAAGAAAAGATTGAAAGCAATGCAGCTAGTGATGTATGGGCTTAAAAGTTGAAATAAGAAGTGATTCAATTATTCCCAGCCAATAATGTCGGACCGAGTGGCTTGGAAACGCTTAAAATGACTGAGTGGTGCTGGTGATTTACTCGACTCACCTGAACCTCTCGCTAAATAACTTCCTGGAAAAAATTTCTGACCACATTCACATCAACATATCAGCGAAGATTTTAATCAGAAATGGTGGACATCTTATTTATGGAATGGCAAAAATATATTCTATATTCAATCAACTTCTTGATTTATGATGCTGGATTTTTTTTTTGGATAAACCAGCCAATTTTATCAGTACTTTCGAAATTATAAGGATTCCCATAATCATATCGCACATCTCGTAATTTCAATAATATTCCTGAAGCAAATACTAGAATTTAGACTAAATGGCAAAAAAATTTCAAAATTCGGTCAATATTATGCATAAAATAATCACATAATCGAATCAATGAATCCTAAACGAAAAAATATTGGAAAAAAATATTCTAAAATAAAGTAAAATATTAAATATTAAAAAAACAATAAAATAAACTTTTGAACCACTTTAACACGAATAATTAATGAATAATGAAAATATATATATATATATAACATAATATATAAAACATATAGTACTTATATATAAAACATATAGTACTTAACATATTATTTAAAAAATTTATTCCTATTTTCTTTTCGATAGAATCCACAGATTATGCGAAAACGAATAGAATCTACAAATTAAGAACACTGTTTCAGCATTTTTCCAAAAAGTGCACACATAAATTTAAAGAATATTATGAATACACTGAAGTTCCCAGTACTTTAAAAAAAGTGAAAATTAACTCAGACAGATCAGCGCAAATCAAAGCAATGCGGCGAAACACCTTTAGTATTATAAATATAACGCTGGTAAAATATGCTCGCAAGCCAGGTCAATTACTCGAAATCTGTCAAGAAGAACGGCTCTTTGTACGCAAGGCAAGATGTTAGCAACAGCAGCGTGGAATATCAGAATGCTTATGGACATTCAAGTCAAGCGATAATTGCGATACTCTTTCTAAGCACATGTGGATACGTCTTTCTCGCTTCGAGCCTCGAGTATTTATTAAACCTGACTCCGAGTACTAGTTAAGAGATACCGGTTAATTCAATGTAGAGTTTGGGATGACACGGGACGAAATTACCTAGCGATTGACATGTCTGAAAAGGTCCACTCCATTTTGATTGAGTGGAAACCGGTAAGCGACCGTATACCTATTCCCTTTTAAAGGTATGTTCTGCAATATCAGTGTATATACTGCAAATTACGAATGACCGTGATAAAGATAAGTTCTTTGCGGAAATTTAGTTGCTAATAAAATCTCTACCGAAACATAATCACATAGGTCATGATGTCATGATGCCGCTGCGATAACCTCGACAGTTGGCAAATATGGCATCGGAATTCGCATTAATGAGAAACGCGCTTTTTGCTTTACCGAAGAGCATGACTCAGACCACTTCAACGAGATTGATTATAACTTGATCAATCTCGTTGGAAGAATCCTGCACTAAATAGTCGTTCCTATCAAGGCATTGAAATGGTCAACATTCATGACTATGCTATGGTTCGAGCCAAGATCAGCATAAATGATAACTCGCATTCCCAGGATCTTTCAATTATCTCAAAAAGATTCAGTGAGCGCATTTCAAACCGAATTATTGATACAGTTCAATGTATAAATATTAATGACTTTTCTGGAGTGGTAAATGAATATTAGTCCCAACTAAAAGAATATAATTTTTCCCAATAATTTTTCCCAACTAAAAGAATATCTTAGGAAGTCAACCATTTCCACACTAGGATTTATATAATGCGCTAGTTGAGAATCGAACTATCCAGCTGTATGAAAATAGAAAACTATTTCGCCTTCTTCATAAAACAATTATAACTCGTAAGGATCGCATAATAAAATGGAAGGAATCCTTTTAGGCTAGACTTAACCACGAAGTGCTATCTATTGCACCGGACATAAATGGCAATAAGAGACGGCAGGAAACACCTTAACCAAGCTGGATTTTGACCGCAGTGCAATTTTGCTGACCAAATATTTACATTAAGAAGAATGTTGGGACATCGCTTCAAATATCTTTAACACACCATCAAATGCTTCATCAAATTTAAAGCTGCCTTCGATGATGGAGATGGAAAGCGACGGTGTTTCAGAGAAGATCATTCGTCTCATAAAGGCATTTTATCAGCATACATGGCCACAGGACTGTGTATATGGGAATTTGACACATTTCTTCGAAATAAGAGCTTATGTCCGTTAAAGCTATATCCTTTCCCTTATTCAACAATGTGGCGCACCACATAATGGACTGCTTGTTGGCAATCAAGAGGTGCATAAATAAGTCCAGAGCATCGTACAACAGATCTTGAATAAGCCTGATGAAATAGTCCTTTTTGCAGAGTTATGACGAAATGCAAAAAATACTAATACTAAACAATATTTCGACAATTGCAGCGAGAATCCGACATGGGTGTGAATAAAAGGAAAACCTTTTCTTCTTGTATACAAAAAGCTGATAAAAACACCTCTTTTTATAATTCATTGCCGATTGAGGAAATGCTCTATTTTAATTACCTTGGATCCCTCATCTGTTGAGATTTTTGTGCAATTTATTTGTAAGAAGCTGGGGTTTGGAGCCTCTGTGGTTTTCAATGTCTTTTTGAATTATACTTATGTATTGGCTGATATGTTTCTAATATTATGATATTATTTTTCAGCCTCTTCTTCTAGGGACGATATGCATAATTCTTCTTAATTTTATGCTCCAGCATTTTCCAGAATAACGGTTCCCCAGTTCATTGGTTTTCGTTATTATGGTAGTAGAAATTGTTGCGAGGGTTCTATTCGCATTTTCAGGTATCTCATAGTACTTCATTGAGCCTTGTTCGTCGGTCTCGATGGTTAATTACGACCAGTTTATTCGATTTTTTAGCACACAACTGCTCTTCTTTGCAACGGAGGTGATGGAAGGCGATTTCCAGCTTTCCACCTTGTGCACATCTCGTCTTTCCTCTTCTTTTGGAACATTCTCGGTCAGAGTTGATTCATCTACTGCTGAGAGAGTAGCCTGTTTTTTTGAAGCAATGAGCGATGAATTAATGTTCTTTTTTCCATTTTGGTATATTTTGGTTTTTAATGCATTTCATATAACCCTTTTCATTAGGACTATTGTAGTAATATTCCATCAATTTCATATTATCTTGTCTTCTCCATCTAAGGTTCTGATAGCCCTTTAACACCAGACTGCCGTAGTTCTATAGCACTTAGCGGAGCTTGTTAAACCAGGCGACCAGCATATATATATATATAATTTATATTTATATGTATATATAATTTCATTATATTATTTATATGTACAAATAATTTATATATTTTATATATAATAAATACCAGAAGATGAAAGAAGAACTAGAGAAGATGTGGAAAATGATGGGCAAAATAGTAATATTTCTAGTAGTAACTGTGGTACTAAGAACTATGATTCTTAAACCATGAAAATATCTTCAATAAAATCCAGAAATCTCTTCCATAAGAACGCATTATTATTTGCAGCGGTAAGCCTTCAACCTCACGGGACTCTAGTAGAGGACGAGATTCAAGAGGGCACATACCATGCGGATAAGTAAAGGATTTTTTGCATATAAATCAAAAATCTTAGCTTCCACAAATCTTAGCTCAAGAAGTTGTGAAAGTGAAAGTGAAACTCTTGAAAGTGTCTTAGCTTCTCACATTCCATAATAGAACTAAATTTCAAATTTCAGTTAATATTTGAGGCAGTGCTACAGCCACTGTCAATAACAACTTTTGAGCTTAAATATGACGAGGAGCGAAGAAATACTCATATTGCTAAAATTTCTGTTGTTCGTGGTTCAGAGAATCCCATCATTTTCCCAAAGTTTGTATAAATTTTTTATATTAGGTTCCATAACTATTTGTGATTGATGATAATACGTTTTCATAAATATTTATTTTGCTTAGATTGGTTAGTCGCATAGTAATTAGACAGTATATCGCATTATAAATATTTTGCATTTGGTCCTCGGTGATATTTTATATTTCATTAGATAATCTTCATGGCATATCTAGTTTGGCTACTAAGATGAGTTCTTTTCTCCGGAGATTCGCTTAGAGACAAAAATAGGCGAACTTTTAATATCATACTGATTAATTGATCTGGCCATGGTTGATTTTCCTTCGCCATTAAAATATAATCTCGTTAGAAATGCATCGTTAAGATTATCCTCAAGTTTTTATATAGTTGTTTTATTTTAAATTCATTGGACTTATTCATCATTTCAGAACGTTCACTATAGACGAAATTGTTGAAAGAGAATTCTTCCTATCAACGAAAGGCTTAAAAACGCAGCATGATCCAGCAACTGGTCTTATCGATGTGAATCATCTTTATTTTTATCAGTGATCATGTTTACCTTCTCGCGAAAAAAAGAAAAAGATTTGACAAACTTATTGTTTCAGAAAATCATTGATAAAACTAGGAATTTTCGTTTTCGGCAAATGTTCAGTGAATATATTAACACATCTTCTGGAGCTTATGTATTGAGAATATACAAACCATCAAAGGCAAGATCACACTGTGTTTTTGTATGAAAATTCACCTTGAAAATCATCTATCTTTGCGAATATGCTCTTTAATTAGCCAAAGATTTAGGACTTCCTGTCTTGTATTCAGTTGATTTGAATTAATAATATAATTTTGCAGCCATACATTTTTCAACAATTATCCCGATACATGATCAAAGGGAAAATACAACAAACTGCCTATATACGGTCAACAACAATTAAACAGAAATACATTGTCAAAAATTCGGATGGTAAGAATTCGGTTGCAAGAAATATTTCTGGAACTTTGTGTCGCAAATAAGAAATTCCATGTCGATTATTTTTATAAGTATTATTTTTTATATAGATTGAGACTACAAGAGGTGAAGTTCAGAAATATAAAATTCAAATACTAATAATGATTTTATTATTTGTAGAGAATGGAAGACAAATTTTTGTAAATATGCATATTGATAGCCGGAATACGCCTTACCAAAATGAACTCACCACAACATTCATAACCGGCCTTGATTCGCATTCCATTCAGTTCTTTACCGATAGTATCGGATTGCAAGTATGCAAAATGAAAACATTCATATTCATTAAGAATCTACATTCGAATATCGTTCTGGCGAAAGAGTCTTATCCTAGCAGTCCGTCAGTTAGGCCAGAAATGGTGCATGCTGTCAGAAGAATCCTTAGCAGTGACAAACACATCATAACTATGATGTCGGTTAGCAATCGATACTGAGGTAGACATGATCGTAGGTCATTTCCCTTACAAAACTGAGAGAGATAATTTACCATTCTTTTTCTTTTATTAGTTACCTCGTGATAAAACAATATGGCAGCGAAGAAGAAAATTAATTAGTTGTATGTCAAAGCCACTCAGTGTTGTTGCATTTCTCTAAGGTATTTACATACATGTAAGCCTTTTATTAATACCTATGTGTGATTTTTCCGGTCTACTGGCTTTCTCCTTATCCCTCTCATCACTCTATTTCATTTTCAACAATTACTATTGCCCCTAAAGTAAAAGTTTTTTCGGTGTCCATTCATTGATAGAAACAATTCGCTCACTCCATTCGACACAACAATAATAAATCATCCGACCAATATCCTACTTTTTAATTTTTTGTAATGTAGATCGATGTCTTATTGTTGAAATTTAAGTAATTAATGATTTGCTAGTTTCTGCTTAAAATTGAAAGTCTTTACGATTTTATATGATTCCATACATAGTCAATATTAAACTAAAGGAACCAGCAAAGGTAGAAGAGAAGGCAGATTCAAATTATTTAAAGTCTTATCTTCTTTGACATTCACAAAAATTTTAAGGCGAAATACTTTATTTTTATTTGTTGAGAATATTAAGACATAGTAGAGTGTGCTTTGATTTGCACTATAGATTCAACTCTCTCAAAGCTAATTCTGGGACATCGCCTGGAATTCTCCGATCGATCCAGTTAAACCAGTGATGATGACTTGTTATGGAGAAAAAAAAACTTGGTAACTAAAAAATCAGTGTCCAATATTAAGGCCAAAATTTAATTGAGATTACTGATTACTGATTTCGACGTTATAGATGATAAAACGTGAATATTATCCAAATGTGACAACAATGGGAAATTTCTATCCAATGCCAACAGCTGCAGTTCTACAAGATATAACACGTCGAGTAACGATTCTGAGCAATGTAGAACATGGTGCATCATTTTATAAACGCAAAGGAATTGAAATCATGCTAGGTTATAATATATTTAGTAGACTGTGAAATTACTTCATATAATTTTTAAAATTACATGAGATAATTCAGGACGATGCTGTGGAGCCACCTTCTATTCTCAAGTAACTCTCGGACAAAAGGATCTTAATAGTCAAGAGAACTAGCCAAACAAGAATTTCTAGTTTAATTAGTTTAATTAGGAGAAAAAAAGCATGTAAAAAATTTGCTCTATAGGCGATAAATTTGACAGCGATATTCCAGAAATTTTAAAATAATAGATTGGAATGTAATGCATATATATGGATGTTATTTCAGACCGAGTAATTAAGACTGATGATTCCAAAGGGCTCGGATCTGGAAATGATGGTATTCCAAGAGACATTTTACCGGTGAACATGGATTTTGTAATACTTATTGAAAAGATATCGGGAACAGCGAAATGGGTAGGGTAGTTCTTGAACAATTTTCAATTTTCGATATTTATGTATTTCTCAGCATTGGTTAAAAACAGCTTAACATTATTTAAGCTTCTTGGTAATATTTTTCAATAGTTCATCGATGGAAATGGTTTTCAGCAGCAAAAGTTTAACTACAATACCATAGCGGGACATCAGGCGCTTCAATCTCTCATTTATCCACCAACTTTATTTACAAGAATCGGTAATCAATCGAGTAATAATTAGTCAATTAATTTGCCACTAATAGCCCTCTAGAACTATTGAAAATAATTATTTATACATTTTCATCATATTTTTAATCATCATAAACATAAGTGAATGGCGAAAAAATGTTTAAAAATGTTTGATGTTTAAGTGTTTAAAATGAGTTTAAAAACTCGATTTTTGAATTTTGATTTTCGTTTTTAAGTCTAATTAGAGAAAGGTAAATAGAACTAGGCGGGTAACCGTAAAATTTTTGTGATTTGTTTTTGAAAATAAGAGTTCGCTGTAGGCTTCAATCCCCTTCTTTTAATAAAAGTATCAATAAGAGTATAAATCGAATTTTGAGAAAAAAGTGAAGTTTGAGAAAAAAAAGTGAATGATGAAAAAATGATTTTGCTATTCCAATAAAAGTGATAAAAATTTTCAGCGATCAAAAGTTTTTTAGGAAAAAATTTGCATATAAAATTTATTTCAAATGATGATATGGTAATCGAATTTCCATGCGACGTACAATTGATAACCGTAAGACCTTTGAATGACAGTCCAAATCAGAGGCTAATGATACTTCATCGAGCAGGTATATATTGCGGTGGTACCGCAACCACACCATGCAGAAGTGGTGATCTCTCGGTAATTTTTGATGTGATAGCTTACAATTTTATCGAAATCTATTTATTTTTTTACATTTCTAATTAATTTTTCCTATTCCCTCTTTATTGAAGAAAAAATCTGACGTATAAACCTGATAAAAAATAATTATCTTCAGAATAATTATAATTACAAGAATTATTCCTATGATTAGATGAATTCTTTATTTAGACAGCAATCTTATCATACTTAAAATCAATTCATGTAACAAAATTACAACGGACGCAACTAAATGGCATCGATACGATTGGAACAAAGAAAAATGTGGACGACGAAGAATTTTCGATAGAACCAATGGATTTTCTTACATACATTATAGATATGTAAGACCGTATAACAATCGTTGATCATTTTTTATTAAATAACTGTTTCGCTCAGAAATTTTATAAATTTGATTGTTTTAGTTTAAGCCATTATTTTTATATTAACTTGGATCTACATACCACTTAGCAGATAAATTTTATAGCTTATAGAACTTTGAAGTAATGCCGTGCGGTGCTTAAAATTGACGAAAATAGCACCAATTCGGACAATTTCTCTGATCATATTTATAGCCTTATTTTTAATGCGTCAAGTGATTTTTTTGGGTTCCTGGGCTTCATTATATTCTTTAATTCCATCTAATTTTCATCTAGTTTAGTAATGGTTTTATTAATTTTTTTTTATTTCTTTATCGGCAGTACATTGTTTGTCAAATATTTTTATTGCGCGTTTTTCATAATTTCTTTTAAATATTAAAATTTAACCGATCGATATACCATCAATCATTTTCTCTTATCCAGTAAATAGCATTTAGCGTAGGCTTACGATGGTCAAAAAATTAACGATCGTTTTATAGGACAAATTAAGGACAAAAAATGGTATGAGGGTAGGTAGGTAGTAGTAAAACATTTCAGTCCAATTTATCACAGTTTATTTATGATAAAACGCTAAAACAATTAAGCAGGCTGAATGAATGAAGACAAAAAACTGAAAAGTCAAGAACTGTTAATATTAATAATAAACAATAAATTTGTAATAAATATTTAATTATATACTATTTATAGTGCGATTTATTCACATTATCCCATATTTTTGTTGCTCATTTTTTTTCGTATAATCGTTTGATCATTTCGCCTTATCCTTAAATTTACATGCATATCTTCCCATAATTCGTGATAATTTATTTGCACAATTTTTAAAAAATTTTTTTGTTGCAGTATCTTTTTTATCTATTACTAGGTCGCACCACTGATTTGTTGGAGATGTGGGTCATCAAGCCTCCCGATTCAATGCCAATCCTGAAAGTAAATGAAGCTATCGCTCTTTCCATCGCTTAATGCTATAGCGCCTGTGGTTCAAAATCTTCCCTGGCCAAGTCGGGCGGTCTCGATTGGTCATCCTTGCTTGTGATATCCATCAAAGAATTTAGAAAGAAAGTAAAAGTAAGATGTGCTCAAATTCTACCTGTGAACGACAAACAAGATGGCTAAACCAGAGCAGACGATTTCGAAAGGTGTCAATTTCCTATAAACAACCTTCGTTGACGTATGCCGATGAAATGTTTCGGCAAATCTGACTTTCAGAATATTATACTGCATGATTATCAGAGCGCCTTCTTGTTGATCAAATCAAAGGACGATGGCAAAGTTGATGAAGCACGTAACGGCAGGTTGTTAGTAGGTTGCTTGGAACGATGTCCCTTCCCAGTCTGAAAATTTGGTCAGTAGAATTTATTTAATTAGGGAGAATCCTATTGCCACGAGTATATTCAGCAAAAGAGGCGAGAACCTAGAAAAAACTAATTTCTCGATAATTGGCATAATGTATCCTACCACTCTTATTGGAAATTGAGAGCAGAGCTATCTTGTTTCAGTCATATGGCATTCGTCACACCAGTAAGTATAATTTATATATAATTTTTATAAAATTTTTGCTCTGTGAGTGAGCAGCAGTTTATGAGTTCAGTTAGCTTATCTTCTCTAGGCTTTTATTTCATTTAAATTATTTCATGTTCAATTATTGCAATCGTACGGCTCTGAATGGTTTTCAGCCATGTCCAGGATATTGGGTGGCCCATCGTTGTTGAGTTTAAATTCAAATTCTCTCTATAAGTGAGGCAGTCTGGGACGATTTAGAAGGGACTTCCATTTTTATTTCACTTCTCTGACCATTTCTCGAATAGCGATTGCGAAGTAGACAGACTAGTTTTCGATGATCGCCTACTTCAAATGCTCTCTTCGTTTTCAAAGCCATATTGGTACTTTCAGTACTGATTTTTGTCTAGCTTACTCGCGACTGATATAAGTCTATCGGTCTATAGATAGTTAGCATCTCGTGCATTTTGACGGCGCGATCTTTTCTTCTGAGACCCAGCTTACTTTCATTCGAATCGTATATCCTAGGATGAATTTATTTGCCTTCTGGATGTTTAAGCTGGGACCAGTATTCCTCTGCAGTTTCTGAGATGCTGCGATTGTTAAAATCCTTTAAGTGTATCTCAACTGAAAAGTATTCTGAAATTTATAATTCGAGGTAGTCAAATTTTGGGAGAGAAATTTTCCGCTTTGATTTCATTTGGATCTTTTTCTTAACCATAACTTAGCCCGACCTATGGAAGTTGCCAGTTTTGATTCCTTAATATGCACGGCCATCTGGTACAGAATCTATTGAATAAAAATAGTTAATCTGATTCAAGAGTTGATTGCCTGGCAAGTTCAATGTAATTAGATATCCTCTGTAATGTTAAAATACTTCTCAGCATAGTGGGGAAGATGCTTTCCATTGGACATAGGCTTGGCACCAAGCTTAAACGTCATGTTTTTTAGCATTACAGAGGGATATTCATATTCGCACAGCTTGTATGCGCATCCCAATCTCCCATGACCAGTCATTTTTTAAGAAAGACTTTAAAATTTAAGAGAATTCATTTTTGTCCAGATCATTCATGTGCAGCAACATAAATATTGATTACGAAGATGTTGTGAAACATGCCTTTAAAAAGCATAGGCCAACTGGTCTTAACACAGATCGAAATTTGTCTGGCTTCAAGTGGGTCAACTTCTTCAGCTCGAAAACTTACCATTTCTGATATTGTGTATCCGAGCTCAGTATCCATCGTTCGCACATTTATAAGCTTAGAAGTGTTAAAGATGCGTATCGGGAACACAGTTTGCGATTTGCTTCTCTCACCTGCCATATACTCACTTCGGGATAAAGGCACAAGACGATTCCGAGCGGCTGTTTGACTTTAATAACAGGTTTAAGCGTGTCCAAGGAAGCAAAACGATATTTTCATAATTGTGATAATTATGAAAACAGGAAAAAAATATTTTTTTTAAAAGTAATTCGAAAGTTAAACTATTATTTTATTTTACTTTTAAAAAGCATTTGACATACTATAGAGCTTTAAGAATTATATTAGCATAAACTATACAGTTCTGCAGGATAATGCGGTTAATGCGGTTATCATGCAGTTGCCTTTACGAGAAAACAAAAGTGTGACGCTGGCAAGACTCGAGTCCACTATTTGCAGACAGAGAGCATGACTTCCTTCCATGAGGAGGCAGGACAGCCGAGGTAGCTGATCAAGGAGGGCGATTAGTACGGAATGCAACAACGTTTCGAATCGCAGTCAGTCCCCTCTACCTTGCCGGTGAGGGCCCTTCAGAAAGTGCTCACCTGTCTTATTTCAATCCCCAGGCTTCTGCTGGGGGACCCCAGACTGAGGGTGACTCGGACTTTGTCTTTATGAGATTTTGCTCCCATCACTATTTACGGCAATCATTATTTACCCACGATCACTTAAACAGACATCGCTGTTCGCTGATAGATACAGCGTCGATCGAGCCTACTACTCATCGCCTATTCATCTGCTACTCGTCGGCTACTCATAAGATAAAGCAAAGGAGTTCGTCCTCTCTGCTTAATATTTATAAAGAAATTCGCCGAATAAAGTGTCATTAAATTATGTTAAAATTGATTTTTCCATTGAATTTGTGAACCTCGAAATTTTAAATTAAATTTTTTGAATATATTTATTTCTTAAAAATGAATAACTTAGCCAAGAAATTTTGGAAGAATTACATCTTCTTCGATTCACAACACTCCATCTGCCACTTGGCAATTGTTCGCAACGACGGTGGACGAAATCAGACGGCCGCTCTATCATGCCTCTTGCAATTGCTAGTTGTCGGTCGGTTGTCTAAAGTGCAATCGCGTTCACTTCAATCTCGAGCATGAATTTTCATCGCGAATTTTTTTAGTTATTTGAAATTTTTCATTCTTTCGCGAAAGTTATGTACGTCCTATTTCTATAAAGTAATATATTTTATATTTTATTAAATTGTTTCTCTTTCTGTTTTAAAATTTAAGATATTTTCCGATATTTAATTATTCGAACATATCGATCAATTTTAATTTCAAAAAATCTTCAACCGAAAGGTTTTTTCTCAATGATTCTCTTCTATGAGAATTGCTCGCGGCATTTGTTTAGGACATTCTGTATGTGTCAATTGCGCTCGGTCAGTTATATAGAAAAATTATACAAATTAAATATATATATATATATATCTGTGCGTTCATTTTATGTTCTCTTATGTTTCGGTCGATGTATTCTTCTAATATTTTCAAAAAAATTTAAACTTTTTATAAAATGGAGGCGATGCTGGGCCACCACCTGTAACTATACTTCCCAAAATGTTCTAAATGTTGGTAGAATCAGCCCAATGAGTAATGGTGAGAGGTGATAATGGAATCGCCAAAGATCATCTGCCAGATTTCACAGAAGAGAAGGGAAGATGCCAGAAGCTGTATTGTCGGATATCTAAATTGAAACAAAGGAGGGGGAGGAGGGATGGACGAGTGGAAGATGACGATGTCGGATAACCAGTAAGTCTCCATAATATTAATACTATGAATGAATTATAGTAATAAATGGCTGACAACGTGCAGATAAAAACTGATGATCTTCATAAATTAAAAGAAGGTGAGATATTTGTTGATGCGGAAACAGGTAAAAAATATCGGGTAAGGAAAACGTTTCTTCCTCAGCACATTGGCGGCGGTCCGCACGGCTTAGGTTAGTTTTATTTCCTTTTTTCTTTTTTTATTTTTGCTAAAAAAATTTAACTTTGTCATTTCCAATTTTTTGTGAGTATATAAGTGTTTTATAACTAATGGTATACAACTAATCTGAGAGTAACACTGACCTGGTTTTATATACCATTTGGCTTTTCTACTAACTGTTGATATGAATCGCTTAAAGGTTGAGGCTTATAGTAACAACACGAATTTTATTTCGCACTCTTAACCGGAACTGTCATCTCCTCACGGACCTCTAATTATATAGAAACTAAGCTGAAGCAGATTACTCTTACTCAAGATTACTCTTTATGCAAATAAGTTCTAATCTTTAATCTTTAATCTATTCGCAACTTTGTTTACTTGTAGATTTTTACAATTAAATATGTGAAGAAAAAGCAACTAGATTGGAAGACAATTTTTTACAAATAAAGTTTGGCATGCCAAGAGATTATAACAAAATTTGGCTGAAGTGTAAACCAAGGAGAGAATTATATTAAAACTATATAAACGGGTTCAAGATAACGTAAAACGTTAAAGCAAAAGAAAAGGTTAACGGAGTTTAAGAAGATTTTGAAGAATTAGAATGGCATTTAGGAATACAAAGGGGAGAACGATTGCATATTAAATTTATTCAATTTCAATTTATTCACGGCATATTCACGTTAATTTTTTAATTTAATTAATTTTTAATTTCAAAATTTTCAAATTAGCTTTCTATACTTGTTACTTCTTAATTTTATATTTCATTTTTCAGGTGATCCGAATGATAGAACATTAAGGCATATTGAAGCTGATGTCATTATTCCCTATCAAATGAACACAGAAATCGAGCGAGTAGAATGTCATAAGCAGTATTTAGGTAAGATTTAGAATTAACTTTTTTTACAAATCTTACAAATTTTTTACAAATTGTGGTTTTGAAACTTTTCTATATGTACCAATCCATTCTTTTCATCTTTTAATTTGTCGAAACATTTAAAATTTTTGGCTTTCTTGGCTTCTGTTATGGACCATTTTCTTTTTCATTTTTTCTAATTTTAATTTTATTGTAAGGTTTGCATTCCTTTATTTTTCTAATGTTGGATTTCTGATAGAATATTGGAATTATTTTGAAAATTAGAATTCTGTAAACGAACCTTAGGCGCAATTTGGAATAAATAAATATCAATGTGGTAAGAAAAAAGTGAGAGAAAGTAGGAGGAAATGTATCGTTAAAGTAAGGCTTGGTTTGGCTCCTTATAAAATTAATAAATCTATCCTGCAGTTTTTTTTTTGAGATTTTTTGTTAAGAAAAAAAGTTTCTTGTTTTTGATTAAGTAACTTTGCAGATCTTGTTCATTGTATGAAGACCGAAGGCGCAATTCGTGGTCTTAAACTTTGTCGGCCTATTCTTACTGTTTATAATAAATGCAAAGCTGAAAAGTAATTGTTTATATGTGTAATCAGAATAGGTTGTTTTATTGAATTACCTAATATGGGCATTCCAGTTTCTATAAATTTTTATAAATTATTTGGGTGATAATTTGTTTTAAATCTGTGTTTAAGATTTAGAGATCCTGAATTTCGTGAGCGCATCACTGAACAATTTTTAAATGAACGATCCGAATATCGAAAAACTGGTTTGAATATAAAAGAACGCGAGTTTCAAACATTTCGCACTTCCAGGGTGAAAGAACCGGATGAAAATACTTGACTACCATTTTTAAACTAGTAATTTTTAAATGTAAGTGGCTATAAATCCATGGAAGTAATAGAATGTCGCATTTTTGATTGGTCTATATCCCCACTTCCTAAACATTATTTCAAAAATTAAACATAATTATGGAAAGTTGGATTAAAATAGTGTAGAAAGTTTATAAAGCAATTTTGTTTTATAATATTTTAGTTGGCTAAAATTTAATTAGCTTTCAGTACCAAAAAATATGTTACCGGAAAAATAGCGAAAAGAATGAATCTTTAGTGACCATGGTTTTATTAGCCATCAGTTTTTCTGTTTAGGTAATATTATTTCAATAAATGGTAAATTTTGACTTTCGTTCCTTCGGTTTATCTGTTTAGTTTGTCTGCTTATCATATGAATATTTTCATTTCATTTGATTAATAAATATTTATCCAACAATGAATCATCGCCAAAATATTTTATCTATTTTAATTGTCTTGCAGGCTAGTTGCACTAATTTTTAGATGTCGTCAGTAAGATGTGATCTTTGCAATGTTCATTTATCTTCTCATGCAGTGCTGGATGCCCATAATAGTGGTAAGAAACATCGAAAGAAAGTGCAAGATACCGAACATTTTTCTGCCTTAACTTCACGCTCAGTTTATGTTTCTGGATTACCGCTCAATACTTTCACTTCAATAAAACAAGTTAGTTTAATGGTGAAAAAATGGCTCTTTTGCTATATTTGTAGTAATTGAGAAGACGACTTGTTTTTAAAAATTAATTATTTGGGATCAGTAGATTTTAAAAATTTAAATAGGATTTCCAACCTATCGATTGTGTTTGTAACATCTACTTAAATTTCTTTTTATTTTTTGATCTTCTACAATAATATTTGTTTAAGGTCCGAGAACTTTTCTCGCGCTATGGTGAAGTTGAACGAATATTTTTAGACTTGACTAAAGGATCATTTGCAATTATTGACTTTTTAGATGAATTAGCTGCGGAGAAAGCTCTCGATGATCAAAAAATACTTGTTGGAGAAGTTCACTTTTATTCCATATGATCAACCTCGTTTTTTTACTTTTTGTTATCAGTAAATATCTTGTTATATTCTTTTATAATTGTTTTTCTTCTTATTAAATGGTTTCACTTAAATTTTTTTTAAGCATGTCGCTTCAATTCGGAGGCGTCAAGTAAGTTTCATTAAAACCAAACAAAAATTAGAAAAAATAGATAAAAAACGAATCATAAAACAATTGAGCATGGTTAGTGGATCTTTTAATGATCAAATTAATGAATTGATTCGCTTGTATTATATCGGTGATGATCAGGTTGGTTCCATTTTGTTTTGATTATGTTATAACGAATTATTTCCATCTATCGTGAATTGTAACATCTAAATAAATTGGTAGAAATAATTTTAAAAAATGGATTTTTAAAAATTTATAAAGTATAATGATCACCAATTATTCGTTAGTGATATTTCTTTTGAAAAATGAATGATTAAAATTTCATTTTTTTCTTTTTTCTTTTTTTTTCATCTATTTTTCAGCTGGCTGAAAGATTAAGTTTTGCCGATTTGCTTTCGACTGCTCTAAACAATTATTTCTGTTCTGGTGTTAAAGTGATTTTATTTGGCTCATCAATCACTAAAATCGGAACTGTAGATTCTGATATAGTTTGTTTTTCTTTTAAACTTCTGAATTTTTAAAATAAGGATATTAATAAACTTCATTTTCAAAATTCTACTAGTCTATATCTTTTTCTTTTCGATTATTAGGATGCAAGTTTATTTTTTGATCAACCGCTTTCAATACATGGTATCCGCAGTGTTTATGAACGCGATAAATTTGCATTAATGACTTGCGAACCAAGTGTTTTCCGAATTAGAAAAATTTGTGCCTCAGAATTTGGAAGACTAGCTACTGCAGGTAATGCTTTCTCCTTATTATTATGATTGGAGGCAGTATAGCGGAGTGATATGATATATTGCTTTAAGCTTCTCCCTATTTTTATGAAATGAGGATGGTGCAGAAGGTCCACCTATATTTCTATTTCGCAAGTCAGTTAGTGGAGTGGAGAGTAAAATAATTTTTTCGATTAAAATTTCTATCTTTTGCTGATCAAATTTTCAAATTTCAAGTTTCAAAATTTTGTTATCTTAAATTCTTTCGCATTTTTTTGTTCCAAATCGGATTATTTTTTACGATTTTTCAAAACATGATCATTTTTTTGTGGCAGATCGTGTACGAGTTCTTGCTAAAATATTAAATGATATTCGACGTGAAGGTCTAGCACAAGTAAGTGATCAACATCTTGTACTTGGTGCACGCTGTCCTATTGTTCGCTTTTTCTTCAATAAGCAAGTTTAAAATTTTTTTGTAGTGCTTATTTTATTTATTTATTTTTCATTTTTTTGTCTAAATATCACAGATTTGGAAAAATTTTTTCGAATACTTAGTCAATTCAAATAGTTCAAATAAGTTTAAATTTAAGGAAAATTTTCGTCGATTTATCGGTTGATAATCGTTTGGGTTTTTCAAAATCGAATTTTGTGAAAGACATGATTGCCTCTGATTCTTCTTCCACTATCCGTCATTTTCTAGCTATTGTTAAATTTTGGGCATTACTAAACGATTTCACGCGCCAAGAAGAATATAGAGTTGGACTTTTTAGTGTTTTTTTCTTCATTCTATGAATCTATGCATTTTATACCCTCGCTAACAGATCTAATAAATTCTCCTTTTTACTTTTTTTTAGGTTTTGCCTTTTTTTTCTTTTCTTTTTTCCCTTTTTTTCCTTTTTTTTCCTTTTTTTTATTCATTCACAATTTCTTGAACATATTAATATGGAAAAAAAAATTTTAAATTTTTGAGTTTTTTATTTATATATATTAATTAGTACAGTTATAGTTAGAATTGCCTTTTCGATAAGAGTCCTTATGCGAAAATTCAATTCTGAAAATTCATCTGCCTTATCCCAATTTCCTAGGTCTCGAAATTGGGAGTGGTCCATACCGCCCATACTGGGGGATATGATTTTTATATATATATATACATTTTTTAAAAAAACTGTTTTAGCATGACAAATTCAATACTTATATTTTGACTATGTTATGTATTATATATTTGCAATTGTCATCAATTATTCCTTGCCAGCAGTATAACCTAGAAAAAGTTACAATTGAAGATTGGCCTATTGATTATACAATACATCCGGTCAATTTATCTTACATATCGATCAACACCCTCATTAAGGTGGTCGAATTATTTTTTCTTATATCAGAATATAAATATAGAATATATATTTGAATATATATTTAGAGTCGTACTGTGAAATATTTCATTATACATATTTTTTATTTACCTATGTATTTAATTCTCTTTTATTTATTTTTATTTAGTCATAAATTGCAGGATTTCTTCACATGGTTTGTGCATTTACAATTTAGAGATATTGTTCTTTGTCCTCGGCTGGGCTTGTCGTTAAATAGAGAAAAGTTTCAAAATTTGTTTCACCAAAACACTATTCAAGAATTCAAATTCGGCGTTCTCAATATCCAAGTATGCTTTATTTTTGATTGGTTAATTGATTGTCTTTCTAGAAAATTCTTTCTAAATTTCTTCTTTTGAAGGATCCCTTAGAACTATCGCACAATATATCTCAATTCGTTTCTACTCATTATATTTCGATGATGCGAAGAGAAATGATGTATGCATTAGCCCGTATCAAATTGCATCCAGATAGCTTGGTTGCGTTATTGAGTTCAGATATCATGTCTCAGAATTCTCATACCAGTAACTTACGTTTTTTTTTGAAGTTTCTAATGTTTCAAAGAATTGGTGACTCTTTTTTCTTGATTCTTTTTCCAAGCTCAACACTTTTTCCACTTAGAAATTTAAAGATGGCTAATTATTTTGGATATTTTAACTTGATTTTTTGTTTATTTTATTGGCATTTCGAAACATAGATTCAGAAGGTCAGGCTATAAGTATTCCTGCTGATTGGATGAATTTAAAAGAAAGTCGAGAAGCCATTCTACGGATTCTTACTGATCTTCTGTTCGTTGAATCATGTTCCGAACCATCTATGAAACGACTCAAATCCTCAGTTTGTTCGTATAGCGGTGGAGAAATCTTGGAATTAAGATATAAAGTGTGGATGGGTCGTCGTCAAAAGCGTCGTGAATTTTTAAAAAATAGCAGTTCGATGGCTGCATGGGATATGGAGAGACTGGTATTTTTTTTTCTGCCTATTATTCTATCTTATTCTGCGTTAGAAAAAATTTTAATTTGAATTCCTTGCACAGTTATTTATTGAATACACGGTTATTTACTATTCATCTTAAAAATCATTTTAAAAAATCATTTCAATTTTAATTTCTTATTAGATAGCATGTATTATTAATTTTCTGATTTTTCTGATTTAATTTTTTGCATCTCTCCTTATTGGCATTTTAATTTAGTTTAATTCAGTTTTCCATTGATTATTCCATTTTTATTTTATTACACTCGATAATCATTAATTTCAAGAAAAATGTTGGATCCAAAGATATACATTTAAGATAATTTCTCTAAGAGCATTAAAATAACGATATAACCATGGCTTTTATGAAAAAAGAGACATTTCTGTTATATCCTTTTACAAGGAAATATTTTTTGAGCAGTTGGGAATATTTTTCAGTGATATATTTAACGTATTCTAAGATTATTGATTATGATTATAAGGTACTGTAAATTATATAGAGATAGTACGATGATAAAAAAAAATCGTGTAAAGGGAATAAGATGGAAAGTAAAAAGTGGCGCTCAAACGTACCAAATTTCTCTTATATCTATGGTGAAAAAATGTCTATTTGGGTATGCAGGTTTGTTAAATAGTAATGTTATGAAATTTCAGGTGACAGGTACCATTGTGAAATCTTGCTCACCTTTGGAACCAGCACTTCGATTCAGTTCAGCCATAACTATCAGTGACAATCATATGATATTCAAATTTTGCAAAATTGATGGATCAGAAATTGATTTCCATAATTTTTTGCATTTTTTATTTACTTTTATTCCTAAATATATTGTTCAAAGTCGACGGAAATGTCATGACGAGTAAACGATTTGTTTTTACGTGGTTCCACTTAATTTTTGTCATTTCTTTTTATATTTAAAAATTCGAAAATAAATATTCGATTGGATTTTTCCAAACCTTTTAGTTATCTGTATCACTTAACTTCTCATTTTTCAAATATTTTCGTTTTTTTATTTTTGAGCATGTTTGGTTTATATATAGTTTTGTCTTCCTATTCCAACTTCTGTTTTGGTTAGCGGATTATAGCGGTTTATTTAATGATGCCATTTCATATGGAGAGAAGCCAGCACCATTCATTCCACTTTTTTTAAAGTGGTTTTTCTCGTGTTGAAGCGTAAGAGTCGAGCAGAAATGCTTGATCTCGGTCAAAGCAGTCCTCTCTTTAATATTATTGCGAGGATATGTTCAAAAGAAAGATTTCACATCTTAATTTTCATATGGATATTCAAGCGACTAGACCAGAACTGAGTGACAGGGAATTATTAACTCTCTCTGTGAATGAAATAATTTCTCATTTGATAAAAGCGCAAAAGGCGGGGACCGATGTTAATTTGAATCGGTTAAAGTGTGTGGTTTCATCGAAATATGGTTTAAGTAGTCAACCCAGATTGGTGGACATCATTGCAGCTGTTCCAGAAGATTATAAGGTTTATTTTTTGTTCTTCAGTCGCTCTTTTACTAAAATATTACTGAAATAATTTTTTTATAAATATTTTGAAATCTTAATTTCAAAGATCTTTTGAGCTGAATGTTATGCATGTACTCGGCAAATGCTAAATATCTTGCAGCATGTTCTTCTGCCCAAGCTTAAAGCAAAACCAGTGCGTACAGCTAGTGGAATTGCTGTTGTAGCAGTAATGTGTAAGCCACATCGATGTCCACATATTAACTTCACTGGTTTCTTTATAATTTTTTCGCTGAATCTTGCACAATTTGTTAATTAAGTAATAATTTTTCATAAGCTCCGTAAATTAAATGAACAAGGCTGTACATAAATTAGTACCTTTCTCATTTTCCACTGCAATTCTTTTTTCATTTTTCGGTAACATTTGTGTTTATTGTCCTGGTGGTCCTGATTCGGATTTTGAATATAGCAGCCAGTCTTATACGGGATATGAGCCGACATCTATGAGAGCAATTCGAGCACGCTATAATCCATATTTGCAGACGAAAAGTCGTATCGCTCAGTTAACACAACTTGGTCATTCAGTTGATAAGGTTTCAATCATTTTTGGAGTAAACTGGAAGCTAAATTATTAAAAGTATTGTGAATAATAGTGAATTTCTACTTCCCAGTGATTTCTAATTTTTTTCAATGAAAAATAATTTATTATGAGGGTATGAGGGTGAGGGAAAATAATTTATTATTATTAATTTATTATTTATTATTATCTGCTTATTTATTTTTTATCCATTTTTCTTTTCTTCATCTTAATTTTTATTTCAGGTAGAATTTATTGTAATGGGAGGAACTTTCATGTCGTTATCAACAGATTATCGCGATTATTTTATAAGAAATCTTCACGATGCATTAAGCGGGCATACCAGTTCTAATGTTGCTGAGGTTTTTTTTTTCATTAATTCGTATTTTATAATTGCTGAAAATTTTCTTTGTTTTTCTCCTTTTTTTGTCTATTTTTTGATGTTTTTGCGATTTGGAAAAAATTCTATGAAAAGCCCATTTCATATTCAATTTTCACTAATTAACTTACAGGCAATTCAATTCGGTGAAAGAGGTCATGTTAAATGTATTGGTATAACCATTGAAACTCGTCCAGATTATTGTTTGCCAAGACATTTGGACGATATGCTGTCCTATGGATGTACTCGACTTGAAATTGGAGTGCAGTCAGTCTACGAAGATATTGCAAGAGATACTAATAGAGGGCATACAGTTTGTTTATTTTTATTAATTATTAATTAATATAAATCAATAAATATTAGTAATATTTCGTGTTTAATATTTGCTGATAATTTGTCATAGCTCATCATTTTTCTTCCAGCGAACGCAGATCAAATTCATTCAATATTTTTTTAAGATCCAAGCAGTATGTGAATGCTTTCATATGTCGAAAGATACTGGTTATAAAATTGTTATACACATGATGCCTAATCTTCCAAATGTCGATATCGATCGCGATATGGAACAATTTATTGAATTGTTTGAAAATCCTGCATTTAGACCGGATGGGTTGAAATTATATCCAACACTGGTAATACGTGGAACAGGTTTATATGAATTGTGGAGGACTGGTCGATACAAAAGTTATTCTCCAGAAGTGAGTCAAATTATATACATATATATAAATTATTATTATAATTGATAAAATATAAAAATATATATGTATAATATAAATATATAAAATAAAATGAATAAAATCTATTTTGAAATTTTTTTCAGAATTGTTACTGAGATTCTGTGGATAATTATGAAATTTGTTAGAGTTCTAAGCGAAAGCACCATGTTTTTAAAAGGAGAACTTTTTTTCTTGCGCCATCATGAAAATATCATAGATTCTTCGTGAAGCCTAGTGGAATATATCATGCACAGATGGAAAAAGTATAGTAAAGTGATGACTCTTTACCAATATTCATTTCCAAAATTTACAGGTGTTAGTTGATCTAACAGCACGCATTCTTTCTCTTATACCACCTTGGACACGGGTATACAGAGTTCAAAGAGATATACCTATGCCATTAGTATCTAGTGGTGTGGAATATGGAAATCTTCGGGAACTTGCGCTTGCTAGAATGAAACAGCTCGGCACAACTTGTCGAGATGTCCGCACTCGAGAAGTCGGTATTCAGGTATAAGTAATATTTTGTTCTTCATTGATGATTTTCGTGATCTATTTGTACTACGAAGATCGATCTTTAAAATAAAAAAATTTTCAACCTTATTTAGGAAATTCACAATAAAGTTCGTCCCTACCATATTGAATTAATCAGGCGTGATTATGTTGCGAATGGTGGCTGGGAAACTTTTTTATCTTATGAAGATCCTGAGCAGGTGAACATGTTGAATAACTTATGAGTTTGTTTGTTTTACTTTTACTAATAATAATTTTACATAATTTTACGTAATTTGCTTCTAATTAGCTGAATATCTAATAATATTTCATTACTGAATGGTACAGAGTACCATTACTGGTTAGGCTGGCTCCAGCAGCTATAAGGAGAAACGCTCTCAAGCAGCGGTCTGATGCCATCGTCGACAGTAACTGAAGCCATTCTTTTTTCCATCGTCTAAATTTATATGCTGCTGGTCCACCTTTACGCTCAAAATTCGACCATATCATTCCAGGTCCTGATTGGTCCACCTCACTTTTGAGGCTATCCATCACACGGTTTAATAGGTAGAGAAATATGCGTCAACTGTTGTGGTGGACGACGGAGAACGTGCCCTAACCATTATTGAATGTTTAGCAGATGTTATTAATTCAAATTTGGATTTGAAAATTTAATTGAAAATTATTAAGTATGGACCATTATTTTCAGTGATTGATTAGCTAATCTGTTTATCAAATAAAATTACCATCCTCAATCCTCAAGATTACTAAAATTTATTTTCGTTCGTTTAAAAATAGAAGTGAAATTTTTTTTATTATAAATATACGAATATTGTTTTGTCTCTTATTGAGTGCAATGTTAGATAGTAAATTAAGTAAAATAACTGAAGGACTGCAGAAATATTTTATAATTCATATATATATATATATATATATATATCGGATCTTTTATATATAAAATGCAACAATTTTGAATGAGAAGGGTAATTTGCCTATCATAACCAGTTGGTAATTTTATTTGATAAACAAAATATATATATATATATATATATATATATAGTTGTAGTCAATCAGCTAATAACGGAATTTTTTCAAATCTAATCCACTATTCATGCGTGTATTCTTCTTCTAACAGCTTGGACCATTTGTGATTTGGCTTTTCTGTTTTCTAAAGACGCATTAAGACGCTTTCGAGCCTCAGATCTGATATTATGCCTGAAATTAACTGATACCACTCCTTTTTGCAATTGTGGATGAAAATCTTGACTTCGATCTTCACTGCAGAACCATAGTAAAGAAATCCTCACGAATTTATTTTTACTAAATTTTATTTTTCATTCGTTTGAAAATAGAAGTGAAATCTTTCTTATTATAAACATACGAATGTTCGTTTTGTCTCTTATTGAGTGCAATGTTAGATAGTAAATTAAGTAAATTAACTGAAGGACTACAGAAATATTTTATAATTCCCATCTTTCCTAATAGAAGCTTAATTATAAAACACAACTTTAACGATGTAACCTACAATCCCTTTCAATTCGTCGAATAAAGTAAAGTTTAATTTTCACTTATAAAATTCTGTATGGTAGTGCTAAACTGTTCCAAATTTTTTTAATTTTAGGTTAAAGTTGAGCCCAAAAAGATCTAATGGAATAAGATTACTAAAACCTAGATGCAAATTTAACTAAAAATTCACGACATTCGCATCATTAATTACTGGGAATAAGCTACGTAATTTGTGCTATTAACTATTTTAAAAAAAAATTAGATAACATCACCTATGATATTATTTAAAACTTCATATTATGCAAGATGTTCCGATTTGTGATCTTTTACCATCCTTTTATTTTTACCACGATTATCTATCATTCATTTCGAATCACAATATTTATAATTCCTCTTTATTTCCTCTAAATTATTAGCTTATGTTTATCTTATTTTTTTGCATTTTTTTAGAAAGATTTTTATCATTCTATCACTAATTTTCTTCATTTGTTATTTTGTCTGTTGTTATTAATGCAAGCATATGGCGTTTGTTGCACTGCTCAGTTGATTTCAATAAATAAGAAACAACAAATGCTTCTTGAATCATTTATTTAAATTTCATGATTATTTCATGGTTTCGTTGGAATAAGTTTATTTTCGATTAATTTCAGTTATAACTTATAACTTTCATGTTCTCCTGTAATTTATTTTAGGATATTCTTATTGGTTTATTACGCTTACGTAAATGCAGTGATAAAGTGCACCGTACTGAGTTGAAGGTTTTTTTAATGATTTTCTACATTTTTACCTACTAGTTCTTCATTAATTTTTAATTAATTTAATTAATTAATTAATTTTTTAATATTGTTATAATTTCTTCGGTGAAATGGTTTTAATAAAAAAAAATTTTATCAGGGCAGTGTGTCGATTGTTCGTGAGCTACATGTATATGGTTCAGTAGTCCCAGTTTCAACTCGCGACCCTTCAAAATTTCAACACCAAGGTTTCGGTCAGCTATTGATGGAAGAAGCCGAAAATATTGCAAAGAATGAACATCACTCTTCGAAAATTGCGGTGATTTCGGGTATTGGTACTCGCAATTATTATCGGTATGTTGTTTAATACCACAAATTGTTTTTATTAACTTCGTTTGCTAAAAGTCTGATGAAAAACTTCCAGTTTCTGACAGCGTATTAAAGACTTCTAGTTTCTACCAGCTTGTGCATTGATTATTTAGATGTACCTGTTGGCTTATTTGGCAAGCGGTTGTTTTTTTAAGAAATTATTCTCGATTTATTTTGTTTTACTTGAAAATTATTTCTGATAACAATTCAGCTAAGTTCTCTTGAACTTTTAATTTTTTTTACCAAACAACGATTAAAATTAAAATAAAACAAATTAAAATTAAATCAACTAAATTAAATCAAATCAATTAAATTATAATTATATATATATTTCATATATATGCATATAATCATATATATATACATATATATATATTTTTAAAAAATTTCATTGTCCATTTTATTATTTTCTTCAAATTTAATTTTTTTTTATCTTTTTTGTCTTTTTTTTTGTCCTTTTCTTTGTTGTCCTTTTTTTGTTTTTGGCAGGAGTAAACCTGCTATTATGTCAAAAATCCGGGACTGCTGTGGACCCACCTGTAACTCTATCCCCAAGTGACTCTATGGTGAAAGGGTCAGATACACTTCATACGGCGTCCGCGTCACCCGACGCGCATGATACTTCGAAACCCGTGGTACATGCGATAAGTATATAAGATAATCCGGGCTCAAAGCGATCCCAAGGATGGTAAATAAAATGTGCTGTCAAGTCAGGGTAATTGCTCGAAACCTATCAAGAAGGGGAACAGCCCTCTGTACGCGTGGCGAGGTATTAGCCGTATTAGTGTGGAACGTTAGAACGCTTATTGACGTTGCAAGCCAAGCGATCACTGTCCACACCCTATATAAGTATCGTGTGGATATCACTTGCTTGTCAGAGGTCCGTCTTCCTCACTTTGGGTCTCGAGAAATTATTAATCCTGGTTCAGAGCAGAGATACTGGCTATATCACTGTGATGCTTCGAATAACTCGGAACGAAATGGCGATTGTCATGTCTGATAAGGCCCATTTCGCTTTGATTGAGTGGAAACCGGTAAACGACCGTATGGCCTATGCCCGTTTTAAGGGTAAGTTCTGCAATATCTCGGTCATCAGTGTCTATGCTCCAACTCTGTCGGCAGATGATCGAGATAAAGATAAATTCTATGCGGAACTTCAATTGCTGATAAAGTCTCTACCGAAACATGACATGATCATAATCGGGGGAAACTGGAATGCTTGCGTAGGTCATAATGCAGCTGCGATGACCTCAACAATTGGCAAATATGGCATCAGAGACCGGTGTGCCAATGGGGAACGTTTTCTTCGTTATGCCGGAGAGCATAAACTTTTTTGTTACTAATACTTGCTTCCGGCATCATAAAAAACATCTAGTCACGTGGAACTCCCCGGACAACCAATACTTCCACCAGATTGATTATATCTTAGTCAGTCGCCGTTGTAAAAGTTCCGTACTAGATAGTCGTTCCTATCGCGGAGCTGAATCTTCATGGATCTGACCATGTTATGGTTCGAGCCAAGATCAGCATAAAATTGACAACTCGGAAAACAACATCCCCCAAGTTCCTTCAACTATCTCAAACTAAAAAATTCGGGGACAGTTAGCACATTTCAAACCGAATTATTGAAGCATCTCAATGATACAAATATCAATGATTTTTCTGGAACGGCAAATGAATACTGGTCCAAACTAAAGGAATATCTCCGAAAATCAGCCACTTCCACGCTAGGGCATACTAGTAGAAAGTGCGCTTGTTGGGTATCGGAAGCAACTGTCCAATTGTCTGAAAAAGCTACCAAAGCACGAATGTCAGGTGATCCTGACTACCGGGTGCTTCGAAGATTTACAACAACGAAAGTGGCGGGACAGAAATCACTATTGGAGTGACATGGCCTCAAGAGTAAAGACAGCGGCCCGATTAGGCGATAATAGGAAACTATTATAAAGCAACTATGACGCGGGGAACGATCAGTGAAATGGTAAGGGATAGCAATGGTGTGCCGATCAAGAATATTAACCGCATCATAAGATGGAAACAATTCTTTACCAAACTTTACCATGAAGCACTACCTGTTGCCCATGAAATAGCCGTTCATCATACGCTTACAATTGCGAGTCTCCAACAGATGAAGGAATAATCTCCTTATTCATAAGCTTAAGGCCAACAAAACTCCAGGAGAAGATGGTCTTCGAGTTGAGCTTTTCAAATGCTGTCCATTGTCCTTCATAAGGCACCTTCAACAAATGTACTCTTTAGTATGGAAAAAAGAAATTTTACCAGATGATTGGAGCAAAGCAATTCTGCTCCCAATTCTCAAGAAATAGGATATGACATAGGACATGTTGCGACAATTATTGAGGAATCAGCCTATTAGACTTCTCAGTAAAAATTTTTTGCTTCCATGCTACTCAACAGACTTATGGAGCTACGAGACAGCAGGATACGTCCTAATCAAACTGGTTTCCCCGGTTGTGCTGACCAGATATTCACGTTAACAAAGGTGTTGGAACATTCAGATATTTGCAACCTACTATCACGTGTTTCATCGACTTTGCGACTGCTTTTGATTCAATTGATAGAGACGTGCTTTGGAGGATGATGGAACGCGACAATGTTCCAGAGAAAATCATTAGACTCATAAAGGCATTTTATGAGCGTACGTCGTCGCAGGTCTGTGTATATGGGGAGCTGACAGATTCCTTCGAAGAACAGGTGTCCTTCAGGGCTGCGTCCTTTCCCCCACAATATTCAACTATGCGATAGACTGGATAATGGACTGCTTGTCGGCACTCAAGAGGTGTCCGAATTAGTCCAAAGCATCGTATCACAGATCTTGAATACGCTAATGATATAGTCCTTTTTGCTGACAGTTATAACGGAATGCAAGTAATACTAAATAACATGTCGAAAAAAAACTGCAGCAAGAATCAGACTCAGGATCAATGTAAACGAAAGTATTTTCGTCTTATGTGCAAAAAATTGATAAAATGCCTCTTTTTATAAATTCATTGCCGGTTGAGGAAGTGCCTGATTTCAAATACTTTGGATCCACTCTAATACCAAATGGACAGGCAAAAGATGATGCTATGATTCGGATCACGGCAGCTAGAAATGCGTTCTTCCGGTTGACAAAATCTTTATGGAATCGTCGTTAAATCACCATAAAAACGAAAGTCCGCATCTATATTGCCGTGATCCGTTCGATCTTATTATATGGTTCTGATCATGGCCAATGAGAGTGAAGGATATTAAGAAGTTACCTGCCTTTGACCACTCTTGTCTAAGGTACATATTACAGATCCGTTGAGCGGATAAAATGTCACAAGATCGCATCCACTTTCGTTCAAACAGCACTTGCATAAATAATGTTTTCACAAAGCGCCGCCTTCGCTGGTTAGGGCACATTCTCCGTCGTCCACCTCAGGAGTTGACGCATATTTGGCTATTTGCTAAACCATATGAAGGTTGGCGTCAAAAGCAAGGTGGGCAAATTAAGATCTGGACTGGTACGGTGAGAAAAGATTTTGAACGTATAGGTGAACCAGCAATATATGGACTTAGACGATGGAAAAAGGAATGGCTTCCATTACTGTCGACGATGGCATCAGACCGCGCCGCTTGGAAGCGTCTTACCCTTGTAGCCATTGGAGCCAGCCTAACCAGTAATGGTGAGAGCTGTTAGAAGAAGAAGAAAAAGAAATTGGCTTATGTTAAATAAATGTTCTTTTTTCGCTATTTAAATGTGTACATTGCTGGATCGCATATGTAAAATCGTTTTGATCCTTTTAATCCAGATCCTGGTTTGGTATTAGATTCCTTGTTTTTAACGCTGTTAATTTATAGCGAGATATTTGTTCATTTGTTGTGATTTAATAAGTGTAAGCTTTAGAGGTAGAGCAGAGTAAATACTGGCTGAGATTATCGTGTTGAAAGACGTAGGCCTTGTACCTCCAAATGGAGTAAATCTGTCATTAAAATCATAAAAAGACTGGATAGTGCTGGCAATTCATTTATATTTCTTCCGCCATATGACTCATTGGCAAAATTTACACGACACTGCTCGGCGAAGTTTGATGCGTTGGGCGTACTTACAGCTATTGGGGTGAAATTGACTGTTGACCACTTCTCGCAACATAAGTGACGTTCTATATTCCATTATATTCCATTAATGTACATTAATGCTATTCGAGCGGTCGCGAAAAATTTACCTTAAAAAGATCCGAGTATATTTGGCATTTCTTTCTTTTTCTAACGGATATCACCATTACTGGTTAGGCTGGTTCCGCTGGTTATTTGAGTAAGATGTTTCTAAGCTGCGGGATTTGATGCTATTGTCGACAGTAGTAGAAACCATTCCTTTTTCCATCTTCTCCATCTGGTGCACCTATAAGTCCAAATCATTCCTAATCTAGGTTTGTCCTTGTCTTGATTGGTACACCTCACTTTTGATGCTATTTATCACAAGGTTTAGCAAGTAACGAAAAATATGTGGACGACGATGTCCCAACTAGCGAAGGCTCTATGATGGTATTATTAATTCAAGTGGTATTTGAACGAACGATGCGATCATGTGAGATTTTATCCTATCGGTTAACCCGTAAAATATGTCTTGGAAATAAATGGTCAAAAGAGAACTTTTTAATATCCTCTATTTTCATTGGCCATATCTAGCAGCATCGAGATCATGGTTATATAGAAGACGCGGACTTTTATGTTGATTTCGTGACGGCTGCACATGCCAGCAAGCGATGTTCGTTATTCAGTCTACTGTATAATTGAACATTATAGGGGAAAGAACACAGCCTTGTCATATACCAGTTCTTATTTCGATAGAATTTGTTATTTCCCCATATACATGGACCCGTGGCGACGTACTTTGATAAAATTCCTTTATGATCTCTGAAATACTGTCTCCTTCGATCACTCCCGAAAGCGCCGTTCTATTCAGTTGAATCGAAAGCAGCTGCAAAATCGGCGAAATTCTTGATAGGTTGTACATATTTGAAAGCAGTGTTCAACGCTTTTCTTAACGTGAATATCTGGTAAGCACAACCGCCCTTGGGTATGAATCCAGCTAGGTTAGAAGCGATTCATCTGTCATCTTGTAGGCTCATTCTTCGATAATTGAATATTGTAGAGGAAAGAAAACAGTTTGTCGTGTCACCTTCCTTGGGGATCGGGAGCAGAATTGCTTTGCTTTGTTCCAATCGTCTGGTTATATTTTTTTTCCCATACCAGAAAATACATTTATGCGTTATGAAGAACGATGAACAACATTTGACGAAAAAACTCGGAGACCATCTTTTCCCAGTGTTTTATTGGCCTTGAACTTATGGACAAAGATTATTTCTTTTCCTGTTAGCGATTCGTTGCATATGGCTTAACGAGCGAATCAGCAATGTCCGGGGCAATAGATGGCATATCGTGGTTAAATTTGGCCTCAAAATTTTTTCCATCTTATGAGTCAATTCTTAATAGCGTTAAGAGGCGCCTTATTAATATCCCCTATCATTTCACTGATCCCTTCTTGGATTATAGTTGCTTTGTGAAGAAGGCGAAATAGTTTCCTATTATCACCTAACCAAGTCGTCGTCCCATTTTCAAGGCCGTATCATTCCAACAATTTCTATTCTCCTAAAGTTGAAATTGTTCGAAGCACCCGATTGTCAAGATCTCTTGATATTCATGCTTTGGTAATCTTTTTGGTACAGTTGGACAGTTATTTCCAACTGGCATTTTCTACCTGTATGTCCTAGTATAAAAGTGGCTAACTTTCGGAAACGTGCCTTTTTAGTTGAATATTAATTCACCATTCCAGATATGACATTAATGTTCATATTAATAAGATGCTCCAATAATTCGGTTTGAAATGCGCTCATTGTCTTAATCTTTTAAGTTGGGATAATTGAAAGGTCTTGGGGGGCTATATTTTTTGCGAGTTGTCAATTTTATGCAGATCTGGCTTGAGCCGTAACAGATCCATAAATGTTGCCCGTTTCAGCGCCTCGATAGGAACTACTTCGTGCAGGACTTTTCCAGGACTCCTGACTGATCAAGATATAATCAATCAATCTAGTTGGAGTGGTCTGGGGTTTCATTTGACTATTTGTTTTCTATGATACTGGAAGCATATATTAATAATAAAAAGTTCTCCGGTAAAGCAAAAAGCGCGTTTCTCATTAATGCACCGAATTCCGATGCCATATTTGCCAACTGTCGAGGTTATCGCAGCGGCATCATGACATCATGACCTATGTGATTATGTTTCGGTAGAGATTTTATTAGCAACTAAATTTCCGCAAAGAACTTATCTTTATCACGGTCATTCGTAATTTGCAGTATATACACTGATATTGCAGAACATACCTTTAAAAGGGAATAGGTATACGGTCGCTTACCCGTTTTCACTCAATCAAAATGGAATGGACCTTTTCAGACATTGCAATTGCTATGCCATTTCGTCCCTAGTCATCCGAAACACCACATTGATTTAACCATTATCTCTGCTCAGATCAGGTCCAATAAATATTCAAAACTCGAAGCGAGGAAGACGTACCTTCAACAAACAGGACATGGTGTTCAGAAAAAGTATGGGCAATTATCACTTGTAACGTTCATAAGCATTCTGACATTCCCCGCTGCTAACATTTCTCTTCGCCCTATCTTGCGAGCACATTTTATTTATTAGCCTTGAGATCGCTCGGATTCTTTACTTATCGCTTGTATTACCACTGGGAGTATCATGCGCATCGGGAATGCCGTATCTAGAGCATCTGATACATGCAGCCATATAGCCATCTCCTCTACATGGATGATATTAAGTTATATGCTAAAAGCGAACGAAATTCTCATTTATTTAACATACAGCGAGGACATTGGGATGACATTCAGGTTGAAAAAATATAGCAAAGGAGAGGAAAAGTAATGATGGAGTTGATCTGCCATTAGGATACACAACGGATATACAGGCTAGCCACAAATATCTTAATATCCCACAGCATATTGCAACAGCCATGAGGAGGCAAGGAAGATTAAAGATTGCAACATATAAATATGACCAGAGTATAACACAAATCTTAAAGAGTTACTTCAGTGGAAAGAACAAAAACTGTGCCATATATATGTGCAATCCTGCTATACTCGTGTCGTCTATATAGGTACGCCTTATCAGTCATCAGACATATAGCCCACCTGACTTATAAAGCGGACAAAGAAAGACGTGGAGGCTAAAGACCAAGAAATTCCTGGCAATACATGTAAATTTTCACTTCAAGTCTAAAACCAAAGGGTTGGAACAAAGATGGATTGGGCCTGGTGAGTATGAAAGTCGTGTTGTCTTGAACTAAATTCGAAGGAATACATCAGCAAGTGGCATCAAAGGATGAGCTGCTGATGAAAATTCTGAAACATCTACAGACATTGGAAAAAGACCAAGCAGAAGATGTACCATAGCAAGACTCTGAATTGACAGATCAACACCATCGACAGATAATTGAGGTAGCTAACAATGAGAAATTCTATCAGTGGCTGAAAAAACCGGACTAAAAGAGTGTTAATCATTGCAGCAGGTACTAAGCACCAGATCAGTCGAAGGCAGGATGTAGTGGTAGATATCATGATTAGATAAGAACCATAAATTACTACTGGCAATAGATTTGGCAGCAAGTGACAGGAACAGGGAGAAGAAATTCGAAGAAGTAAATACCAGAGGCTGAAAGGGGAGCTAGAGAAGGTATGGAAAATGGATATCAAAATGGTCCCAGTGGCGATAAGACTAGAGACTTTGATTCCTAAACTGGAAAAGTGGCTTCAAGAGATATCTCTATCCTCTGCATGTTAGGAACACCTAAGGAACTACGTAAAACATTCAAACTCCCAGACCACTGATAGAGGACCCGGGGTTGAAAATGATCCTTACCACCCACATGTGGTGAGAAAGAGCCAATATGCGAAATTATCGAAAATATGAAGACTTATGGAGATTTTCTGAAATAAAATTAGCTTACCTTGTAATCATCTGTTATATCACCCGTTGATGGACTGAAATATGGTTCAATTTGAGCGTAAATTGTGGTGCCATGACTAAGAATGCTTACATTTGGAGTAGACATTCGCAGCGAAATCGTTTGAAATTGCCTATGTGGTAGGCTGTTGAAAACGGCTAATGAACTGAAAATTATAATTATTTAACTCAAACAAATAAAAAAAAAAAGCTCGTTAACACCATATTAATTCCAATTTTTAATATTATAGTAATGCAAAAGCATTGCAAAGAAATAGGTTACACAGATGTTGTTTTGTTCAGATTGATAAGCTTTTGGGAAACACTTTCATTGAATCGAATCAGCAGATCATTCTAAAATAAATCGCGAATGGAGTAATTAAAGAAATCAGCAATTCAGAATATTTCTTTTAATGGATTAAAATCAGTTCGAAACTTGTAATGTATTATTATTGAAATCACTCAAATTTAAGAAATTTGCTTAAATTTGACCATCAGGAAAAAACGATTTAAAATCTCACTGGCGCATAGTTACCATCCATAATGCAATTCATAGCTATTTCCATCGTTAATAATGATTGCTTCATGGAATCATAAAGACGTAAGGAATAATCCTTCATCACGTGATTTCTACTTGTGCCTAAATTCACTTAAAGAATCTTGCAAACACAAATTCCGATATAATTTTTATTTAGCAGAGAAATATATTACTTCGATTGAAGTCAAACCGCCATAGCTTCGATTCTTTTTGGGAGCAACTCTGCGTTAAAAGTGGAATTTAAGCGGTAAAAAACTCAATTATATACAATTATATACGCAAAAAATTTTCTGACGATAGTAAAAGCTATTTTAGTTGGTAGCTAATGGATGCTAGCAAACAAAACCAAAAATAAAAATCTGCTAAAAGATCATGAAGAGAAATTTACGAAAAGAAATACAACAAAAACGTGCCAAGTTCTTTCTAAAATTTGTGAATTTACCCTAGAATCCACATATCTGGTTCGCCTTAGCAAATTTTTGGTGAATTTTTGTTTTAAGATTTGATTTGCTTATAATTATCCAAATCTTCCCACTTAATGTACCTGTAATTGCATCATGATGTTGAAATAATGAAAGATTTCGTCGAGCTTTTCTTAATTTTGAAATTATAAGCGTTTTTTGTTCTCGATTCAGCCTATGATTAGCATAGGAGGTCAAAAGGTCAGCACTACGAATTAGAGCCTAAAAGAAAAGATTCGTAAGCTCGAAGATAATCATAATGATCTGCATAAAAATTCGATGTTTAATAAATTTCAGGAATTTTATTTGTTAATTATCGAGTAAATATAGGTTCAGACGCTTTCTAAAATATTAAAATAAAATAATCATTTTTTTCTCTTTAGTTTAATTTTGATAAAGAAAGGAATCTTTACAGAAAACCTATAAGAGAAAACCTGTTATCAAAATAAAAATCCGAGTGGTGGTGAGTTGCTGATACTTCTATCTCCAGGTGTCTCTATGGTGAAGAGATTTAATTTTCTTGACACGGCATTTGCGTCCTTTGATTGCATAGCCCATAGGTACATATATGTATATAAACTGATATCCAAGGCTTGAAAACAAAATAAGCCTTCGAGCTAGGGTAGCTCGAAAGCCATCGAAGAACAACTGTCCACCGGCTCTGTGCCAGATGTTAGCTGAAGCAACGTCGAACTGTCTAGAATCGGTCCAAATACTGTGTAGATATCGTCTAGAGTCCGTCTTCCTCATTTTAGGTCTTGATTATTATATTTGGCTCAGGCTGGCATTTCGGACAATTCGAGCCAAAATGTTTCCGTTCCGATGGTGTCGAAACTAGCTAAGCTAGCTAACGATGGTATGGCATATAGTCGATTCAAAAGTTTCTGCAATATCTCGGTTATTAGTGCATATACTCCCTCTTTATATGCAGATACGACAAGTCAGATAATCTTGTCTACCGATCTTACGCGACACTTCAGCTGCTGATAAAATTTTTCTCGAAAGATAACATAGTTATAGTTGGACGGAATTGGAATGCACGTATAGGTTACGAAATAGTGGATTATGAGCTGGAAAATATGTTTGCGTAAACGAAAAGCGCCTTCTTTGAGCTGTAACGAAAAAGCATAAAATTTTTAATGTTAATTCACGCTTTCGACATTGAAAAAGGCATCTAGTCACATGGAACTCATCGGGTAGCATTCCAACTAGATCGATTATATCTTGGTTGATTGTCAATTCTCGTCGATTCTTTTGCGGTAGCCTTCATGGATCAGGCCATTTTATTGTTTGGTAATTTCCACATAGAATTTATAATCTCGTAGGAAACAAGATATTTCAATTATCTCAAGCTAAGAGATTTGAGAACAGCATTTCAAGCTGAATTATCGAAATATTTCCATGATTTAAATACAACCATGAACGATGAATACTGGTCTCAATTAAACGTGCATATCTGAAGCTCGGCCAAATCCATTCTAGAATATCCCATTGAGAAATGTAGTAATTGAATACTGGAACAGAAAAAACCACCAAAAATGCATGTCAGATAATCCTGACTACTGGATGCTTCAAAGAGATACAACAACAGCGGCGAGAAACCACTAATAACTAAAAAATATAAGATAATTGCATGTAGGCAATAATGAGAAACTAATATTCCGCCTTTATAAAATAACTTGAGAAGGGATCAATGAAATGATAATAATGTGTCATTCAAGACTATCAAAGATTTTTAACGATGTAGAAAATTCTTTGATTAAACTAAATCACAATGTTAGACATCGTGTCGATAGTTGCAGCATAAATCGGGCTCAGGATCAATCTAAATGAGACCAAACACTTACACGCATCACAACGCTAAAATATCTATTTTTATCAACGAAAATCTTACATAAACTTAGCTAGTGATATGGTGAAGCAGTAATGTAGGGCTATTACAAGAATTATTTCTTAATTGAATCTACTTATCACTAACTATCGGTCATATTTTATAAATACCCGTTCTTACATGAAGTTGTCGTTCCTGTCGTTTATAGAAAGGTCGCGTAGTATAGTAACCCGTCCAGTAGTCATGAGCTGCACATAGATAAGGAAAAAAGTCCCCCGATATAACAGTTGGGATAATTTTGTTTTCTTCATTGAATTTGTCGAGGGCGTCAAAATATTCCGTAAATGTGCCAAATCTGAAAGCAAAACATGTAGTCTGAGGTTCATTTTATTGGAAACTAAGGGTGAGAATTTTGGACTATTTTTAAAATTGGCCAGTAACTTAAAAAGATTTCCTAGCCATTAAGATTTTCAAATTGTGCTTATTCTTTTGAAAACAATATTGTTGAGAGATAAGGAATTTTTAATTTTTAATCTTCTAATCTACTAAATCGTTTTTTCTTCGTTTTTACCTAATTTTTATCTTATTCATCGCATTAATATAATTGAACAAATATACGAGATTCTCGTATTGTTGATGCCATTCTTCCATCATATCGTATCGAAAATCATCGCCCCACATTACAAGAAGCACTTTTGATTTATACATCTCGGACATTTCTTTAAGTTGATTTTCCAGTTGTTGTGCTCTGCAATATAAGGAAGGTTAATCGTTCTATCAAAATAAACTACAAAAGGAATTGTGCTAAATCGATTCGGCTGTGCTTCAAGAAATGAATAGGCAGTAATCTCGATTAAGTAAAAAAACACAAATAAATATTTGGCCTTCATCATTTCTGCTTGGGCTCAGTCCACGAGTGGGTTACACTCGTTTTCTAAGTTTCTTCTGGAGCATTGGCCTGGAGCCAATGCTCAACGTGATAATCTGAATCAATAGTCTTTCGCATATCACCGATTAATAATGATTTCATTTACTTTTATACATTTAATTTATTGTATTTGTGATAATTTTATTGGTTGACTGAATTTTTGAAACTGCCACCGAATTAAACTCAGTCCTTCATTCATTAAAAAAATTAATTAAAAAAGAACTAATTGTATCTAAATATATTAAAAATTAATACTGCGAATAATAATTAAATATTAATTTTTAATATATTTGAATATTTTAAAAGTTGAAAAAAGAATTCCAATGATCGGATAAGTAAACCATAAAAATTTGAACTTTTTTTTGACATTTTTTTTCGTAATGGCTTCAGTTTGTGTATCGTAGCACTGATAGTGGGTAATTCTTTTGAAGTCAAATGCGCAACAAACGGACTGATTTGGGCCGCAGCTATTCAGAATATCGTAGTGACTGTATGGCAGCACATGAGTGTGTATATCGCCAACACCTTGTTTGTCTGAAATATATATATATATATATATATGAGTATAAATAAATAAGCAAAAGTGGGTGACAAATGGTTTCAGTAGGCCAATATGGCGAGCGTTTTTGCTAATGAGTCATTTAAGGGCAGGTTTAATCCTATCAAAACGGAAACAGAACCCTTGTCTCTTAACAAATAATTTGATTTACTATGCACTTGCCTCTTCTCCCTGTCCTCATCCTCTCAACCCCCCTGCCCCCCCCCCCTCCCCCGCTTAATATATAATTATTTGATTGAAATTATGAAGTTTCTTAAGCTTTCGCTTTTCATTGCTTTTCATTATTTTATAATAAATTGTCATAATTGTTATAATAAAAATTATAATAAAAATAAAATTTGAAGAATTTCTAAATATAAAGTACAAATAAAAATTATATCTAATTTCTTTCTTATGTTTCCTATATATATTAATATATTCATTTTTTAAAATAGTATTCATTACTTCTGGTTTGCTCTATTGGTTATTAAGATGAGAAAATTCCATTAAAAAACCTTGTTAGAAGTGCTAGTGGTCTCCAGCGCCACTCAGAATTTTCAATCACAAAATTACTCTTATCAGAGTGGAATGTATGACATGAAGTGATAATCCAAGCAATACTCGATTTGGTGCCTTTATCAACATTATAATATTGTTATTTTTATTTATTTGTACAAGAATATCAGGTAGAGCGCAAAGCAATATGCTGGTGCCAAAATATTAAAATTATGTAGTTAATCTCTCATGAATAGTACTAAAACTATTTCACAAATATCATTCATATTACAGCTATGAAGGAATTCTAAAATATATATAAATATAAATAATTAAAATAATAATTAAATATAATAATTAAATATAAATAATTAAATATAAATAAATATAAATATAAATAATTTTTTCTCGATAATTTTTTAAATCGACCAACCAAAATGTTGTCTCCACTTGAATGGAATGGCTCTTCGTGCTTGCAAGGCTTTCTTTAAGATATCATGGATTCTGTTAATAACTGCTCGCTTGATCCCCGTTTTCGAGAATAAATATGGGACTGAAGGACCATAGCCAAATGGATCATTTGACCATATAGTTTTAGATTTTACGCCTGAACACATGAACATCAGCCATTATAATATAATTTTTTAATTCTCTAATTAAAAAATCATATTGGATTGGTAAGGGAAAGAAGTGAAAGAAAGGTGGTAAAATTTGAGTGGTAGTATCAAGCATTATTTGCAGTTTGAACTTGCTTCGAGTATAGACAAATAAATGAACTCACCTAGTTCACGAAAAGTGAACTGCTGTCCTTCGATGATATTGTCAATGGTCACAGGAAAATATGGATTCGCTTCGTCAGTCATTACCCAAGAACCACTTGCTATTTCTAACTGCCCATTTCCTATTAGCCTGTAAAATTTAAGCCCGATAAAAACAAAAAGTTCAAGTGAACAGAAATTTTCGTCGCTTTTAACAGCTAGAAGGCATTAACATACTTCCGGACTTTTTTCTTGCTGCTTTCGTTTAATTTTGACCACCATTTCTCAAAGAAAACCATCTCGCACCAAAGAAAACGCATTTTTGAATGGCTTGGCATAAAATGCAGCATATTATTCAAAATTTTATTCGTATCTTTGCTATAACTCTCCACAGTTCTCAGCCATCCTAAAATACAAAGAAAAGATGTTTAATTGATGTGATAATTGATATCTGACAAAACTTTATTATTTTACTCATTAATCAATTGGTGATGAAATCTAATAATTTAGAAATTTTATTCATATCGCGAAATTTCAGCTGAAATATTTCTGCTATTGAATGCAAATTTAATTTTGGTCAAAAAATTGTGCAATGTTGAAAATACTTCGATGCATGTGCAAAACATTATTGTACAGTATTAATTGAACAATATGAATATATACCTGGATCAACATGAGTCATTGGCAAAACAAAAACTTCTAACTGATTATCATCTGGGAATATATTTGGTTGCTTAAATGGTTTGTTATAACCAACATGATTAGCGAAGAGATCAAATACCTAGAAAGCCGCAATGTCCAAAAATGATTCGTATTTAAGATTTTTTTACATTGTTGAAAAAACAGATTCATGATTAGTTTGACATAAAGGATCTTTTGACAAAAATAAATATTTCTTGAGAATAAATCAGATGATTTTAATTGTCTTGAAACCAACTCAAAAATTATCAGAAATAATAAATATATGCATATATTATTTCGACTACTTGATGGTAAGTTGACTATTTTAACTGCCAGGTGTTATAGCAGCAGGTTTGGAGTTAAAAGCTACTCCAAGAAATCTTACGTAGACAAAATGATATGGAACTGATGGAATTTGCAATAGACCTAATGAAAAGGATTATATGAAGTGCATGAAAAAACTATGAAAATGGAAAAAGAACATTAATTGATGCACATTAATTCATTCATTAACTGAGAAATAATTAGTCGCTCATTGCTTCAAAAAAGAGGTTGCTCTCTCAGCAAAAGATGAATCAACTTTGAGAACGTTCCAAAAGAAGAGGAAAGACGAGATGTACACAAGGTGGGAAGGTGGAAATTGCCTTCCATCATCTCCGTTGCAAAGAAGAGCAGTTGTGAGGCAAAAAATCGAATAAACTGGTCATAATTAACCATCGAGACCGACGAACAAGGCTCAATGAAGTACTATCAGATAATACACCTGAAGATGCGAATAGAATCCTCGCAACAATTTCTACTACTATAATAACGGAAATCAATGAATTGGGGAACCGTTATTCTGGAAAATGCTGGAACTTCTAAAACTCTCACCATTACTGGTTAGGCTGGCTACAAGGGTAAGACGCTTCCAAACGGCGCAGTCTGATGCCATCGTCGACAGTAATGGAAGCCATTCCTTTTTCCATCGTCTAAGTCCATATATTGCTGGTTCACCTATACGTTCAAAATCTTTTCTCACCGTATCAATCCAGATCTTAATTTGCCCACCTTGCCTTGACGCTAACCTTCATACGGTTTAACAAATAACGAAATGTGCGTCAACTCCTGAGGTGGACGACGGAGAATGTGCCCTAACCAGCTAAGGCTGCGCTCTGTGGAAACATTATTTATGCAAGTGGTATTTGAACGAAAGTGGATGCGATCTTGTGAGATTTTATCCACTCGGCGAACCCGTAAAATATACCTTAGACAAGACTGGTCAAAGGCAGATAATTTCTTAATATCCTCCACTCTCATTGGCCATGTCTCAGAACCATATAGTAAGATCGAACGGATCGCGGCAATATAGATGCGGACTTTCGTTTTTATGATGATTTCATGACGATTGCATAAAGGTTTCGTCAACCAGAAGAAATCTAGCTGCCCTGATCCGAGTTATAATATCATATTTTCCCTGTCCATTTGGTATTAGAGTGGACCCAAGGTATCTGAAATCGGGCACTTCCTCAACCTGCAATGAATTTACAAAAAGAGGCATTTTATCAGCTTTTTGCACATAAGACGAAAAGATTTTCGTTTTATTTACATTGATCCTGAGTCCGATTCCTGCTGCAGTTTCTGACACGTTATTTAGTATTACTTGGGAAAATGCTGGAACATAAAATTAAGAAGATTAATATCGTATATGATACATATTACATGATACATGATACATATACAGATGCATATCGTCCCTAGAAGAAGAGGCTGAAAAATAATATCACAGCGCAGAAAAATCAGCCAGCTGAGAAAATTACGGAATAAAAATTAATAATAGTATCCGAATACTGGAAAAATACAAGGTCCATTGCCACATTACTGGAAAAATACAAGGTCCATTGCCACCTTTGACATAGCTAAACAAAGGCTCACAACACTGGCCACTAGGCTAAAGAGATAAGGAGAAGCATAAATCAAAAAGATATATGTCCTGTTCTCCAAAAAACCATCCAAGGTATACTCTCAACTGCAGTACAACAATATGGTAATAATGGCCACCAAAAGCAGAAACTATATAATATTGGAAGAATATATGGGATAAAAAGGTTCAAAGCATCAAGCTGCGAGACCTGAGATTATTTTCATCAAATTTAATTTTTTTTTTGTCTTTGGCAAACCTGCTATTAAAAATCCGGGTGGCTGCTGGGGACCCACCTGTAACTCTATCCCGAAGTGACTCTATGGTGAAAGGATCAGATACATTTAATACAACGTCCGCGTCTCCCGACGAGCATGATACTCAGTGGTACATGCGATAAGTTTACAATCCGGACTTAAAGCGATCCCAAGGATGGTAAATAAAATGTGCTCTCAAGCCAGGGTAATTGCTCGAAACCTATCAAGAAGGGGAACAGCCCTCTGCACGCGCGGAGAGGCCGTATCAGCGGGGAACATAGCATAGAATATATTATGTTTTCAGAACTTTCTGGACAACCAACACCATCACCATCGTCCACCTTCTGTACAAGGATTACAAGCACGACATTAAGTCATTTGCCAAAAAGCGAGGTATTGACTCGCTCATTCATTTAACACGAATGCACAGCGAGGGCATTGGAATGTCATTCGGGTTGGAGAAAAATAGCACCAAAGAGAAGGAAAGGCAGTACGACTGGTGGAGTGAATCTGCCATCAGAACATAGAGCAGATAATAAACTGATTAGAAATAGCTTGATATCCCACAGCCATGATCAGATACTCAGCTGCCTAGTGGAATGGTCATATGGGGACTGTCGATGTGAAGACTCGGAAATCATTCCCACGGAAGTTAAAGATTATTGATCATTGGAAATTTCTCGAAATTTCTACTTTCAACATTTCAAACGATAAGTGTTTTTTTTCTTTTTTTCTTTTCAAATTTGTTTTTCCTTCAATTTTAATTTTTAATTTTGCATTTTATCTCTCTTTCTATTTTTTCATTGTCTTCGACAGGAGTAATTCTGTTATGATATCGAAAATCCGGCTGGCTGAGCCACCTGCAACTCTATAGATGACCTTATTGGTGGAAAGACTGATTTCCTTAACATGGCGTCTTCCGACGCGTATGATGCATTAAGCTCGATGGCATATGCCATGCGAGCATAAAACCATCCCAAGACTTGTGATTAGATGTCTACGCCAGGGTAATTTATCAAGAGGAACGGTTCTCTACATGTGCGGCGAGGTATTAGCCATTTCGAATAACTCGAGACGAAATGGCATTGTCATATCTGAAAAGGCACTCCGCTTTGATTGAGTTAAGGCCGATAAGCAACCATATGGCCTATGACCGCTTTAAAGGAAAGTTCTATAATATCTCGGTCATTAGTGTATATGCTCCAACTTTACCTGCAGATGATTGTGTGCCTGGGGCCAGTTGAGCAAAAAGACCGTCAGATTAGCGCAATAACATAAATGGCACAATGGAGCAGTAACATAAATGACATAGAGAGCGACGGGTAAACTGTGCATCTGTATTTTTTTTTATATGTTCCGTTTTATGTAATATATTGCAATAACAGTTTTGTTTCGCTTTTTTTGTGTAAATTTTTTTGCGTCCTTACTATTAATGGTTCAATTATCCAAGCTTGAGGTACAACGAACGAACGGTTGGCTACATTATTTTTCATCGGAAAAGAATAGGAAACTCGAATATGAATTGAAAACCCCTAAAACCCCTTGCATTGTGGTAAGTTCTGCAGAACTGCGGAACTTCCTGCTAACAACGAAAAATGATCATAAATCATGAAGGACTAGAAGGCGCGACACGATCGATGACCTCGACAATTGGCAAGTATGGCATCAGAATCCCGTGGTAACACGTTTTTCGCTTTGCCGAAAAACGCAAACTTTGTTACCAATACATGCTTCCTGCATCACAGAAGGCATCTAGTCAAATGGAACTCCCCGGATAACTACTCCAACCAGATTGATTATATCTTAGTCAAACACCGTTGTAAAAGTCCCATTCTGAATAGTCGCTCCCATTGCAGCGTTGAAAAGGGCGGTCTTCATGGATTTGCTATGGTTCGAGCCAAGATCTGCATAAAATTGACAGTGCATGAAACAGCATCTCCCAAGATCTTTCAACTATCTCAAAAAGATTCAGGGACAGTAAGCGCATTTCAAACCAAATTAGTGAAACATCTCAATAATTAGGTCAATGTTATTTCTGGAATGGAATGAATACCCAATTAAAAGCACGTTTCCGAAAGTTGGCCACTTCCATACTAAAATATACCAGTAAGAAGAGCTAGTTGGAAACAATTGTCCAACTGCACCAATCCCAAAGCATGAATGTCAGAGATCCTGATTATCGGATGCTTCGAACAGTTACAATTTTAGGAGAACAGAAATCATTGTTGGAATGATATGGCCTTGGAAATGGAGACAGCGTTCGATTAGGTAATAATAGTCGTATCAAATCCACTATCTTGAATAAGAGCTGAAGTAGTCAGAAGTAAATTAGCAAGATGAAATCAAAAGATGAACTACTGAGAGAATGCATCAGAACCAAGCAAAGTGCTATGGCAAGATAAGACATTCCATAATATACCACTGACAGATATTTGAAGTGTCTGACACTAGGAAATCCCAAAAACAGCATTGATGTTAAGAAGAGGTGTACCAGGTTCATCGAAACAGAGAATTACTATATCGGACAGAACTCAAGATCCAGACTATGCAATACACTCCAGAAACAGCTCAGCATATAGTAGCAGCACATAGTGGATGTAAAATGCAAACAGGACATTGAAAGACATAATAAAGTAGCTGGCATTATCTACAGGAATATCTGCTCAGCATAGCTTAGACTATTCCGAGAACGTGGGAAATTCTCTATAAAATCGTGGAAAATAATAAGGCAAAGACCTTGCTGGGCATCTAGACAGACAACAAATGGCCAGCCAACTAGGTATCATTGTAAGAGATAAGAATAAGCACTGATGATAGACCAGTCGATAGAAAGAAAAAAAAGTAAGAAATATCAGAGATGGAAACTAGAGAAGATGTGGAGATTGGAAGCCAAAGTGGTCTCAGTGGGAGTCACTGGATAGAGAACAAAGATTGAAAACTACGACTTTTAAACTAAAAGAATGGCTCCAGGACTCCGGAGACACCTCTGCCTAGAAGAGCACAAGGTGTTGCGCAGAGCACTCCCAGGCCTCTTGTAGAGAACTTGAGGTTGAAGATGACCCATACAACCCACAGAGGATGAGATTTTTTAAATGTTTAAACCATATTGCCTAAGCTAAAATGAATTTATTGGTTTTAAGATCTGAGTTTGGTGAATTTCCAGAATTTTGCTATCTTTTCTTAATCGGATATTTTTGATCCATCAAAAATATATGTACGTCTAGATTCGTCGCAGATTGTTCTATCCTTTGTTGACAAACGAACTCGGTGTTGGCGTGCCGTATTGCGGCCATTTCCTTGGATGTCTCATCGTTGGATTCAGCTGAATTCATCTGCAGTGGATGTGTTGTAATTTTTTTCCATTGTCTTCCTTTAAATGGACGGTCATCTTTGTAAATTGGTAGATTTAACTGAAATTAGAAATTAGTTAAAAAATTGCTTCCATGAATTAATATTTTAGAGTTGTTTTTGTTGTAAAAGTCTATCGCAGAGCCAGTGAATTGCAAATAAGAAAGTCTAATGGTAATCAAACAACAAACAATATTTTTGAATATTTTTGAGTAAATCTTTACCGAGACTTGAGACTTGTTAATTAAAATTAGACTTGCTCTTAAAACTGGATTTGTTTTGAATAACTCCGAACCTACCTGAATCAATGAATAGATGGTAAAAGAAACGATGATAAGCACGAAAGTTATTCGTATCAGTTTCCGGAAAATAAAATTTAATAGCAATCTTGAAAATGATATCATCTAATTCATCTGAAAATACCCGTCAATTGCATTATAAGATTGTAGTCATGGATAAATCTCAAAATTCGACTTCAGATAATTTCTAGAAGTTCATTTCTCATGGAAATAGATGGAAAAAGATTAATGAACGTTTTAATTTCAATTTATGATAAACAAGTATGATAAATACTAACAAACTTTTAATTTTGATAATTTCGGTAATTGGAGATAAGATTATCAGCAAGAAATTTCAAGAAAGAATCAACTTTAGTTGATAAGTGAAAAAGATTATATAAATGTGAAAGAACTGTTTTTTTTCAACAATCGAATATGTATAACTCTCAACTGAGCGGTCAATTTATCTCTTTACTCCAACTCGTTTCAATTTTTTGAAATTGGCTTTTTTGGCTAAAATTTTTCAAAAATAAATAAATTTGGTTTAATTTGGTTTGGTTCAGAGGATTTGTTTGAATTTATAAGTTTCATTATATTCAGTACCAGTAATATCAATGATAAAATCATAATACCAGTGTTCTCTTATATATCCCTTTCCAAAAGCTATTTTACGTAAATATTATCCTAAAATTACTTTTATATCCAAATGAGTTCAAAGAAAAAATTTCACAACGGGACAACCAATGAAACGAGCCTAACTAAAAAAGATGAGAAAGCTAACCACTAACATAATTTTTGCATAAATGCTGTTCTAATAGCTTTCACTTTACTGGTTATGCTGGTTTCGCTGACTACAAGGATACGAGTCTTCAAGCTATTCGATTTGGCAGTATCACTGATAATAGCCATTCATTTTTTTACCGTCTAAGTCCATATATCATTAGTTCACTTATAAATTCAAAATGATAGTCTCGTAGCCACATAGCAAGATGGAGATCGTGGCTATGTAGACGCGGACTTTCATTTTTATGATTTTACGATGGCTACATAAAGGTTTCATTAACCGATAGAACGAATTTTCAGCTATCGTTATCCGAGGTGTAATCTTTTGCTTGGCCATTTGGGATTTGGAGCTTGAGAGTGGATCCAAGATATTTAAAGTATATATAAAGTAAATATAAAGTCTGTTTGGCACCACTTCCTCAATTAGTAATGAATTTAACATAAAAATAGATATTTTACCAGCTTCTAAGGAAAAGCCTTTCGTTTTATTTGCACTGATCCTTATCTCTGATTCTCGTTGCAGTTGATGACACGTTGTTTTTGTATTTGCATTTCGTCTTGTCAGCAAAAATGATTACATCATCAGCGTATTCGAGATTTGTGACCTGATGCTCTGGATTGATTTATACACCTCTTGAATGCCAACTAGAGGTCCATTGTCCATTATCGAATAAAGTAAACGATAGAACCTTGACGGACACCAGTTTTTATTTCGAAGGAGTTTGTCATACACAGTCCTGTAATAATGTATGCTGATAAAATATCTTTATGAGCCGAATGATCTCTGGAATATTGTCGCGTTCCATCCCCATCACCCTCCAAAGCATTGTTGAATCGAAGGCAGCTGTGAAGTCGATGAAAGTTGTGGTGGATTACAGATATTTGAAGCGATGCTCCAACACCCTTTTGAATCTGATTGGCCAAAAGAACGGTCTAAATCCAGCTTGGTTAAGGTGTATACTGCTGTGCCGTATTACCATAAGTCTACTGGATAGAAGGGGAGCAAAACTTTTTGCTGAGATGTCTAATAAGCTGGTTCCTCGATAATTTCACAATATTTCCTATCATCTTAGCTATTGCGAGCAGAATTGGAGAATTTCTGATAACTATCTCTGCCTATCATCTTATAAAAAATTTTGTCTTTTCTGTATGTGGTTGTTTTGAAAAAGATAGGTCACTGAAGCTTGCATCCTCTCTATTAATCTTCATAGACACTTTATCGTATTACCTATCAGCAAGACCATTGTTATTAATTGGATCATTATTTACTAGTACCCTTAAATCCTTCCGAAGTAAGTAATTTACTAAAAATTAATACATAATTATCACAGATTTAATAAATTACTTCGGTACGTTTTTTTTTCAAAGAACAATTTCAATTTTTTCAAAGAACAATAACAGATGGAAAAAGGAAAATAATCAGATAATCATAGATGATGATCACAATTACCTTGTATTATATCAAGACTTAAGTTAGAATGATTTAATCAAAAGTGAATTACTTTACTTTGGATCATTGCTGAAGTCAGGATTATTTAATTATTTAATGAGATTTATCTCGAAAGCAGTTATTTCGAGTATTGCAAATCCAACAGCATTTTGGTTATAAATGAGCGACGGAACAATAGCCTTTCGACTTTTTGAATCGCATTATTCAGATAAAATCGACATGATAGAATGCAAGTAATACTAAATCTTATTTAGTCAGAAACTGCAGTAAAAATAGGACTCAGAGTCAATATGCATAAAAAGAAATTTTTTCGTCTTATATGTACAAGGAGCTGATAAAATGTCTTTTTTTGTAAATTCATTGCAGGTTGAGGAAGTGCCCGATTTCAAATACCTTGGGTCCACTCTAATACCAAATGGCCAGGCAAAAGATGATATTATAGCAGGCATCAGTAGCTAGAAATGCGTTCTTCCGGTTGACGAAACCTTCATGGAGTCGTCGTGAAATCACCGTGAAAACGAAAGTCCGTATCTATATAGATCCGTGATCCGTTCGACCTTGCTATATTATTCTGAAACATGGCCAATGAGAGTGGAAGATAAGAAGATAAGAAGTTATCTACCTTTGACCACTCTTGTCTAAGGTACATATTACGAATCGATCGAGCGGATAACATATCACATGATCGCATCCACCTTTGTTCAAATACCACTTGCATAAATAATGTTATCAAGTGCGTTGTCTTTGCTGGTTCGCGCACTTTCTCCATCGTCCACCACAGGAGATGTCGTATATTTCGTTACTTGCTAAACCGTGTGATGGATGGCGTCAAAAATACTAATGGGCCAATCAAGACCTGGACTGATATAATCAGGAAAAATTTTGAACGTATAGGTGGACCAACAATATATGGATTTAGATGATGGAACAAGGAATGGCTTCTATTACTGTCGACGATAGCATCAGACCGCACTGCTTGGAAGCGTCTTACCTTTGTAGGAGCCAGCCTAACCAGTAATGGTGCTCTTAGAAGAAGAACTTATGCTGATTAAAATGATTAAAATCCCTCTTTTTATCGTCAAAAATCACATAAATTAAAAATCATAATAATAAGCATAATTAAAATTTTCTACAGGTTGAAACATTAAAAGAATTTAAGACGAAATTAAAAAATTAAGAAAATTAAGAAATTATTGAATTAATATTCAAAAAAGACCATTTTTATTAGTAATAAAATCGCCTTCAAGCTATAGCTCATTGACATTTCATTGAAACTTTTCGTTCTCTTTCAACACGTTATCCTTAGCGATTTTGTAATTTGTACTGCTATCATGGCAAAAGAAGACAGGGTGAACTGATGGGAAATTAAGAAAAAATGACGTAATTTAAAAAAATAGTGTTCAAGTAGGCCTGACGAAGTTAAAGTAGTAGAAAGAGTTTAGGATAATTTAAAATAGTTTAGCATTCGGAAAAATGGAAAAAAAGAGTATAGTTATATTTTAGGATATAAAGAGGATAAAGGCCTCTGGATGCATTTTTTACGAAATATAGATTTTGAAAAGGTTCCATCGTGAAGGGTGGCGTTTTCCTCGAATAAACAACATATGCATCCACATTCACACATATAATTTTATTAATTGTGAAAATTCGTAGATGATAACCAATAAATGTAGAATTTGAGAAAAATGTGCCTAACTACCATTATAAATCGAATAATTCCGCAACTAACAAATCCAAATGCGACCGATCTAAAAAAAATTTATAATATGGAAAATTGAGAGATTAAAATACCATAAAATCCAAAATCAATTATCATTTAAAAATTTTTTCATCATTTTATAATCAAAGTCACTAAAACATTTCACTGGTATAATAAGTAAATGGTCAGCTGCACATATAGGAATTTATACGAAGGTAGAAAAGCCAACAATATGAACCGCATTTTTTACTGATATTGCTCCTGTCGAAAGCAGAATTCGAATTCTTACACGTTCAAGGCGAAAAATCGTACGCTCGGCTACTTTCTCTCCTATTATTAGACAAATAGCCCGAAGGCAGGGAATCAGTTGGGACCTATGAGCCCATCTATTCAATCATATGTTTGTTCTCTTTGGTCGTTAAAATAATGTCAAATGCTATCTATTTTTGTCTATCTAATTTATTTATCCCCTGGTAAAATAAGTTAAAAGGTTGCAATGTCGATATCTTTAAATGAGTCGATGGTTAAACATCGAATTCTGAATACGTTTTTCATGGAAATTAAAAACTATTTTAATGAACATGAAACACGTAGCATACGTTTGTGCCGAAAACAGATTAAGTTCTTAATTTGCATCAATTTTCGCATTAAAACACTGTGACAAATGTCCATGAATTCAATGCAATTTTAGAAAAATCTTATGATAAGCCAAAGTAAAGAATCGATTCCTGAAACGATAATTTATTATCCGGAAAGAATAAAAAAGCGCAGAAAAGTGAAGTAAAAAGAAATTTTTTGATTAGTCAAATATAATGAAAAAGACCATTTGAAGAATTTCTTTTACTGCCAGTTTAGTTAAATTGATCCAAATTCAATTTCAACCGCAAAAGCGGGTCGTACTAGTTTTCACATTACTTTCATATTATCGAAATAAATCCTTACGCTATACTCGATGCCTTATGCTCGATAGCCAAATTATATTTTTCCTAATATTCGGAAAGTATATATTTTAAGAAATAACTCGCTTATCGTCTAGAAGAAATTTGTCATTTGTTGCTTAATTAGGTCCTTACCGCCTAACATTTTAAATGAGCAAAGTCTTTAAATTCGTTGCCATTCTTCGATCAGAGTAGGATAACCGAGTGTATAGTAGTTCTAGTTGTTGTGTTGGGAGGACAAAGGTTCAGTTTTATTCTGATAGGAACTAATAAAAATTGAACAAGAGT